CAAAGGGATGAAGGCGCCACAACAACTCACAGGACAAGAGAGGTTTGAGCACAACCTGATACACTTACCCTACAGAACATGGTGCCCAATTTGCGTGAAGAGCAAAGGCAGAACAGACAATCACCCAAAGCAAACAAGCAAACAAGCGGTGATACAAGTGGACTTCACATACATGAAAGCCTTTGGAGACAAACAAGTACTACCAGTACTAACAGCAATAGATGTCGAATCAGGTATGGCAATGGCGGTTCCTGTACAAGACAAGAACCAACAACAACAATACCTGGTACGATGTCTACAAACATTCATGTTTGAATGTGGACGAGCACAAGCAACACTTTCACCAACAACACTACAAACAGACCAAGAGGAGTTCATCCTGAACCTCTTGAAGACAGTGGCACAAAACCTTGGAGCCAACATCAATGTAAGACAATCACCAGCATACTCATCACAATCACAAGTCAGTATCGAACGATACCACCGCACACTGATGGGACAAGTACGAGCTTTACTACAACAAGTCACCATCAGCTACAACCTTACACTGAGCGTACAACATCCAATCCTACCATGGATTGTGAGACGCAGCATGGCTACTGAACAGGTACGCCAGTCACAATGATGGGCAAACAAGTTACCAAAGGAGATGGCAAAAGGATCACAAAGCACCACTGTGTGAGATGGCCGAAACAATACAATACATGATTCCAACAACAAGAACACAACCCAAGATGGAACCAAGATTCTTCAAAGGAATCTGGCTTGGGAGAGACACAATGACAGGCGAATCAATAATTGGAATCCCAGGCAAGATCATCAGAGTGAGGACAATCCGAAGACAAATCATGCCTGACAAATATGATAAACAACTCTTGGATACAATCAATGTGTATCCTTGGAACACACCAACACCACCAATGACAATACAGCCACAACTACTTCTACCAGCCAATCCACAAGCCAGCAGCTACGCCATTGGAACACAAACCACCATTCCAATGGATGAGGTGAGTACACAGACTCAACAAGCAGGAGCACAACTAGCACCACCAACAGGAGCTACACAGCATCCAGCGATGGATACAACAATGGCAACATCACTGTTGGCAACATCACCGACGACAATCACACGACCAGCATTGCCCATGCCGGCATCCAGCAAAAGGCAGCAAGAAGAGCCAACAGGTAAAGCTGAGCTCAAGCAAACGAGGACAGCACAATCCTCAACAGCAGCCAGCCGAGGACAACAAGAGGAACCACCGAAGACAAGGATGAGAATCCAAGCTGTGACAATCACAACAAAGAAGGGAGACAAGATCACAACAGCATCTTGTGAAGACGAACAAGGAGCAGAAATCGAGAGGATGCTACAAGAGCCTTTCCTGTACGACAATGAAGGTCTTGATCCCAAGAAAGTACAACAAGGGATGAAGAAAGAAGCACAATCAATGAAGGGACAAGAAGTATTCACAGAAGTCAACTACAATGACGTCCCTGACGAATACAAGAGCAAGATCATAGAATCAAAATGGGTCAACAAACCAAAACAAGACGAAGTTCGATGTAGAATTGTCGCCAAAGGGTTCCCGGAAACAATTCAGGACCTAGACAATATCTACGCAAGCACACCCATCTTTGGGATTCTACGAATCTTGCTCACAATGGCACAGCACAACCATTGGGCAATCCAAGCAGGCGACGTGTCAACAGCATTCTTACATGCACCAGCAGCCACAGACAATCTGTACATGTGGCCACCACCAGAGCTATATCCCAGCGGCCACAACACAACAACAGTTTGGAAGCTCAACAAAGCAATCTACGGATTGAGGTCAAGTCCAAAATCTTGGCAAGACCACTTCGCACAAGTCCTACAACAACTTGGACTTACACGACTCACAAGTGAGCCCAATGTCTACAGAAACAAGGAACAGACAATGTTCGTGATGGTCTACGTAGATGACCTACTTTTCCTGGGACAACCCCAAGAGGTCAACAAGACCTTCCAGGAAATACAGAAGCACGTACTCTTACGACCAACAGGCACGCTCGGAGTTGGACAAACAATCCAATTCCTTGGAAGAGACATCTACAACAACGGAGACCATTTTGAACTCAGTCTCAAGCCAGAGTACATCACAACACTTCTGAAAGAAACAAAAATGGAAACAAGCAATCCGGCAGCAACTCCAGGGACGGCAACCCTGAAACAATCAACAAATGACGAAGCACCCTTGGACAAACAAGAGCATGCAGACTACAGAAGAGCAGTAGGAAAGTTACAATGGCTGACTTACACAAGACCGGATATTAGCTTTTCGACAAAGGAACTGGCAAGAGACCTACAACAGCCGACACAACAAAGCCTCCGCAAGTTGAAACATCTCTTGCGGTACCTACGTGGAACACAACAATACAAGATGATCATTCGACCAACGCACACACACACACCACAAACAAAGGAACCCATCGACCTGAATATCTACGTCGATGCGGACTGGGCAGGATGCCCAAACACAAGAAAATCAACAAGCGGATTCATCGTGACAATGATGGGATCCGTCGTACAATTCGGCAGCAGAACACAAGCAGTGGTAGCACTATCATCGGCAGAATCCGAACTATACGCAATCGGAACAGGGGCACAAGAAGGCCTACACATAGCCAACTTCATCAAGGAAGCAACAACGACAAAAGTGAACATCCGCATACACACGGACAGCACAAGCGGAAAGAGCATTGCAACAAGAATCGGTTCACCAAAGAAAGCAAAACATATTGACCTGAAGTACCTATTCATACAACAACTGGTACAGAGCGGAATACTATCAATCCACAAAATCAGCACACACGACAACCCAGCGGACATACTCACAAAGTATGTCCCGGCAGAGGTGCTCAACAAACACCTCTACAAGGCGGGCATTCAATGCCCACAACATCACAACTGACCACCGTCCTAACAATGTTTCACAACAACAAAGCATCCCCTGCGTGCACAATACACACACGGTTGCACGAGCCATGGTACACCATTTCTTAAAGAATATGGATACCATCAACTATGTATCACTATATCACCTACAAGATCTTCGTTTCACTATGGTACGTACATTTCACCTACAATTCATTATAGACACCATCGTTTGATTTCTTGCTGCATGAGAGTGGAATCCGACAATGTCGGAGTGAGACAATCGAGAACAATGTGTTTGAATTTTTGCTTTGAATAAAAATGCATGGATGTTGACACTTTGTCAACAAGCAGAAAACAATGTTTCCGCCGCCGCAGCCGTGTCTCCTCACAATCGGCTGACAATCGAGTCCGACAAGGTCAAAAGCACAATGACGACCTTTGTTCCGGACTATGCCAATCTGAGGTTGCTTCCGACTGGAAGTACAATCTCACTATGGGAGCACCGAGATGTGATCTACAATGCCCAGCACATCCCAAGCTCAATCCTTTTGCCTGAGGACAAGAAGGAAATGGCTTAATGGCTTGGAACGATGTCCTGGACAATGACAAGAGCTACTGGTTCACGGCAATGACAATGCTGGAATACAAGACTCTTGTGAATGACAATGGGGCAATTGAGAAGCTCCCGGGTGGCATCCGTGCACAGAATGGATGGGAACAATTGATCCTGCTTCCGACAAGTGAGGAAGCAGTACAATGGTTGGCCTACCACCAGAGTATGGGTCACACCATGGCATGTGATCAGACAGTGGTCATGGCAGTCAGCTTTGACCTCCACAATCTGACACACCACAATGCGGTGAAGAAGACAAGTAGTTTCCAACGTGGCTACTCGGTACAAGTCATTCAGGTGCACTCTCCTTACAACTATAGGCTGACTGAGTGGGAGCGCAGCAATCTGAGGACAATGGTCATTGACTACAATGCGGCGCAGAAATTCCAGGAATACAATTGGTCGTCAGGCTGGATATGGTTGTACGGACACACCATGCACGTCCAATCCATGCTGACAATTGGTGAGAGCTGTTGCCATCACACAATTTTTCAGATGGGATTGGAGCATCTGGGTCAATTCGGGCAAACCCAGCTCCCAGAATCCGTACAATTGGAACTATCAAGTACAAGACCAACTGCAAGCTGGATACATATCACGTGGGCATTCCACGACGCCAGCAAAGAGGTCACATCGACCATTTCCAATACATCATGGACAAAATGACACAGGCCACCATGCAGATGGAAGCAGAGGACAACTCAGATCGCAGCCCACCGGCAAAGCGCCTTCGTGACGACAAGAGTGCTGAGTCGGAGAACAAGGAGGGCAACAAAGATGGATCTGCGAAGTTGGACTAGGACAATGGTCCAAACAGGAACCATGGAGCAATGAAGTCTGGATCATCGACAATAAGGCACGCGAACTGCACCACGATGCCGACACCAAGATGACTGGACAATGAGGCAGCTCCATATGTACAGACTTTGAAACTATTTGCACTGAACAATAGATCAAGTACTCTCTATTTCGAGTTAAAACAATGTGAATGGACAATGTTTATGGACAATCCTGTGCGACATGGCATCACAATGTTGCCAAGTCGAGGGACGGTGTAAAAATACAAGTGTACTATAGCAGATACAATTCATAGTGTTCATGGTCAACAATGCTCAGCACAATGTGTGCTGTATATATCCGTAGGCCTTGAGCCTCAGACAATTTTCCAGAGGAAAACAATACAGCGGTCGTGCACAAGAGAAGGACAATTGGACAAGAGGACAAACGTGAGACAACGGTGACACAATCCAACATCCACAAGCACAGTGCCGGTGAAACTTTACAGGATGGATGGATGGATGGATGGATGGAGTGATGGACGGATCGGGAATGATGATGTATGCATGTTTGGGGTGCCATGTGCAAACGAGCAGGCTTTCAACACAAAATTACACTTACACAAAAGCAGGTTGGTGCAGATACGGTCCAGTGCAGATGGCTGCAGTGTGAGGCTCTGAGCTTCTCCGCAGACGTCTTGGGCAACGCTTTCAAAAGGCAAGGACCAGGTCCCAACAGGGCCTCGCATCTCACACTCGTGGCTGTGAAGGGCGACCGGCTACCATCGCAGAAGGCCCACCCGCCCGGGCTGAAAATTCTGCAAACATCAGTGACCCCGCCCAAACTTCTCCGAAACTACCCGACGGACCCAACGCTTTAGGATTTTGAAAGCTTGGCTCGCGCAGCACCGCAAAGGGCTGAAAATCTTTTCCTGCCTTGCCCACGTTTACATTTGGCACCTTTCGAAGGCACCCATTCAACCTGAAAGGAAGACCCTGTCGGCTTGTATCATTCGGCGCTAAATTATTGAAACGTATTGAATCGGAAATAATCAGAATGAATTCGATTCGAATGATTCGACTTGAATTCTGGTTGTAATGCTTCAGTAGGTCGGATGCTGAGGTCCTGGCGAAGCCACCGAAGAGTGGAGGTCTCCAACATCATCAGCTGCCTTGGCCCTGAGTAAAGACCAATCCCTTGAACAAACAAAAAGATAACATATGAATATTATACATATAAGAAAGTAAAAGAAAGTAAGAACAAGGTGGGCCAGAGAGCCCAAAAGCAAGACGGCACGCAGCACACCTTTTTTTAAGAAATCTTGTGGTGTGGGCAGCTGTGCTCTGCACGAAACGGACGCAAGATCTTTATTGAGACATCGTGCGCACTGATGGCATCAGGGGCCACAATTCACCACAGCATGCTGCGTCAGCTACGTCTACATTCTTTTAGTCGCTATTTCTGCTAATGTAACTCTATCCCATCTTTCTAGCCGCTATTGATGCCTGGGTTCTCGTTTATGAACACGAAGAAACGAGAATGAAAGATCATGAATGATCATGCAAATGAGACATGATAAAAGATGTGTAAAGACTTCTCCGCATAAAAGCTTCTATGCGTAAAAACTACTGTGTGTGAATGCGTCTGTGCGTAAAAGCTTCTGTGCGTAAAAGCTCCTCCTGTATGGCCTAAATATTGTAACAATGGCACGAAATGGAGCACCATTTGGAGCACGATGCAAATAGCCAAAATCAAGTATATAAATCTCCCGTGTGCCAACATAATATGCTTTGTGATTGGGTCTAGAATTATATACAGCATTCAACTTTCAATATATTTAGTAATATTCAGTATTCAATATTCTTCTAGGTCTTGAAGGCTGGCTTAGCTCCGGCCAGATCCTGTTCTAAGCTCCGAAGAGGAAAACAACACAAAACCGCCCGTTTTTGGTTTTACCGCGCTTTTGTTTCATTTTCAGAGCACGAAAAAAAAGAGTAACAAGAGCACAGACTTTCAACATAATTATCCGATTATCATAATGGGGACCATACAGCACGATTTGGCGCACGATAAACCGGAAAAAAAAGCACGCATTGGAGCACGACTTGGCGCAAGACAAACCTGGGAAAAAAGCACGCATTGGAGCACGATTTGGTGCATGGCAAACCGCGAAAAAACACGCATAGGAACACGATTTGGTGCACGGCAAACCGCGGAAAAAAGCACGCATTGGAGCACGCTCTGGCGCACGGCAAGCCGTGGAAAAAAGCACGCGTTGGCGCACGATTGGTGCACGACAAACCGCGGAAAAAAGCACGCATTGGAGCACCATTTGGTGCACGGCAAACCGCGAAAAAAAGAGCGCGCATTGGAGCACAATTTGGTGCACGAGAAACCGCGAAAAAAAAGCACACATTGGAGCACGATTTGGTGCACGGCAGAGGACACTGTTTACTGGACATCCGGTTTCGATTGATTTCTCATGTGCTTGAAGCAGTTTATTTCTGAAAGGAAAATATGGTGCTCTAAATGGTGGTATCTTTGGTGCTTCTTCTATTTAAACTTACATATATTATATAAGGAAAAGCACGCTTTTTAGCACCAGTTGGTGCGCACAAAGAAATCAATTCAAAATACAAGTAGCAATCCTCAAGTTTGGTCAGTACCACTACCAATAGCCGATTCATGAAAGAATATCCCCCTTGATTGATGGGCAGGTACCCTGACCCAACCATTCCATAAAAATATGGTTTATGTAATGGTTGGGCACGGGTATATTTTTATAGAATGGATCCTTTTTTGGGCTTATATGTTTTGGAATACCGCCATTGTACCACCTAGCAGAACGGATATGCTTTCCCACTATGTGATGGAAAGGAAGCAGAAATTAGATGTTGAAAGATGGAAAATTTTATTTATATGGCGTGGAACGGGTCGTATCTTGAGGGGGTCACTTTAGGATATCTTAAAGCAAAATTATTACTAAAGCCAAGACATGCTATTATTACATTTGTAACATTCATTTTATAAACAGCATAGGCCTGATGTAAAGTTCGTCTTTTATCAAATGGAATTGCTGTCAGGTGCTACCAATGAATTTCAAAAGCCAAAGTGGGTTTATGTCAGATTTCACCAACATTCCCTAGGTGGATTTTTGGACAATTACATGACCAACGCTTTACCAAATAGATTTTGGGACAGTTACATGGCCAACGTTTCCCACGTAGATTTTGGGACAGTTACATGGCCAACGCTTTCCTAGGTAGATTTTTATACAGTTACATGGCCCACGCTTTCCCAGGTAGATTTCGGGACAATTACATGGCCAACGTTTCCCACGTAGATTTTGGATGATTTTGGGACAGTCACATGGCCAACGCTTTCCTAGGTAGATTTTTATACAGTTACATGGCCCACGCTTTCCCAGGTAGATTTCGGGACAATTACATGGCCAACGTTTCTTGGTTAGATTTTAAAGGAAAATGTGCAATGTGAGCTTTGCCTCTGTAGACGGAACAGGTGGTTTATAAAATGGAAAAATCCAGTATTCGAAACACGAAATCCAGACACACTCGAAGATTATCCATTTTATACACCAAAATGTGGGGTAAAATATGTCTAACTGTTGCTCCATGGGTGGTTTATATATAAAATGGAAAAATTCAGTATTTGAAACACGGAATCCAAAAACATTTGATTTTTTTTTTTGCACCAAAATATGGGGTAAATATGTCTAACTGCTGCTCCATGGGTGATTTATAAAATGGAAAGTCCCGTATTTGAAAAACGAAATCCAAAAACATTAGAAGATTATCCATTTTATATGCCAAAATGCGGGTAAATCTTTCTAATTGTTGCCCCATGGGCGGTTTATAAGATGGAAAAAATCAGTATTTGAAACACGACATGGAGAAATATTAGAAGATTACTGTATCCACTTTATAAACCAAAATGCGGGCTGGCAAGGCATGGCTCAAGACTGTTGATTGAGCACGGGTGTTTGAGCATTCTCTGCGTTTTAATCCCGTTTTTTGAACAATATATCAACATAGACTAAAATAAATCAAGCATGATCAAACATCCCCGTTGATTTATATATCAATACTGACCAAAGTTAGTGTTTCTCCATCCAACCTTCCAACTTTTCTATTATGGTAACCATGTTCCAGACCACATAACAAATAGTAAACAAACAACATTTATTTATATTATGGAAACGCGGATTTTGGGGCTAATGAGTCCAAAGAAAAATGCAGCTTTACATAATGGATTTACCACCCCCTTTTATAAAATGGATGGTCCAACATGGCACCAAAATTTAAGGTTTCTTTGGCTCAATTTTCCAAATTAAACCGTTTATGAAATGATCCGGGTTTTTCCATTTCATACGGGGCATGGGTTCTTCCATTCCAAAGGGCTTTAGTGAAGGGGGGTGAAAGAGTGAAAGATTGAAGATTGCAAACGTTGCAGAGAAACCACCGGCAACAATTTCCCAAAAGACACACCAGGCCAGGAACCACAAAGTAGACACGATTTGGTGCACGGCAAACCGTGAAAAAAGAGCACGCATTTGGTGCACCACGCGGGATTTTGGTTTCTGATTCGCGGATTGTAGTTTCTGATTCTTTGTTGCTGATCCGCGGGAAGTTTCTGATTCGAGGTTTGTTCCCTCTGTGTAAAGGCTTCTCTGTGTAAACGCGTCTGTGCGTAAGCTCCTGTGTGTAAGACTTCTCGGTGTAAAAAGCTTCTGTGTGTAAAAGCTGTCCTGTGTAAAAGTTTCCTTGTGCAAAAGCTCCTGTGTGTAAAAACTTCTCTGTATAAAGTCTTTTTTGTGTAAAAGCTTCTGTGTGTAAAAGCTGCTCTGTGTAAAAGTTTCAGTGCGCCGTAAACGCTTCTGTGTGTAAAACTTCCTGTGTGTAAACGTGTCTGTGTTTAAAGATTCTGTGTGTAAACCTCCTTTGTGTAAGGAGGACTTCTGTGTGTAAATGCTTCTCTGTGAAGAGACTTCTCTCTATAAAAGCCTCTGTGTGTACAAGCTTGTCTGGTCAAGACTTCTCTGTGTAAAGACTTCTCTGTGTAAAAGCTACTCTGCGTAAAAGCTTCTGTGCGTGGAGGCTTCTGTGTGCAAACGCACCCGTGCGTAAACACTCCTGTGTAAAAGTGTCCGTGTCTAAAAGCTTCTGTGCGTAAAAGTTTCTGTGTAAACGCTTTTTTGTGTAAAAACTTCTGAGTTTAAAAGCTTCTCTGCGTAAAGGCTTTCCCGTGTAAAGCTTATGTGTTTAAAAGCTTCCGTGTGTAAAGCTCCTCTGTGTGTGAACGTTTCGGTGTAAAAGCTTCTCTGTGTAAAAGTTTCTTTGTAAAAGCGTCTGTGTGTAAAAGCTCCTCTGCGTGTGCAACCAAGCTTCTCTGTGTAAAAGCTCCTCTGTGTAAAGACTTCTCTGTGTCAAAGCCTCTGCGTGTACAAGCTTTTCCGTGTAAAGGGTCCTCTGTGAAAAAGCTGCTCTGTGTAAAAGGCTTCTCTGTGTAAATGCCTGTGTGTGTGTAACATCTGAATAGATGTAAAACCTCTGCTTTTTCTTTTTTCTCTCCTTCTACATTGCAGGGGGATCAGGGACGTTTGGCCTGGCCTGATCCAACGAAGCTCCAGCCATTCGTCAGGATATGATTGAGGGACGCCTCGATCACGTACCTGTTCTTGATAAGTTGAACTGTTGACTTCAGTTTCTGTTAACCGCCGTGCTGTGTTTGCATCAGTTCAATTTGAATTTCTAGGGTCTTGATTTCATTCCTCCGACATGGCAACCGGCTAAGCAAAGAACCGGAAGGGGATTCAGTTCCCATCGGATCGCTTAAAAGATCCACTCTTGTCTAGTGTAATATCCATGGTGGCTCCGACATGGTGCCATGGAGCCACTGGAGGCAACCCTGTTTAGGGTGACTGATGACTGCTCTGACTTCTGAATTCACACATTTTAATCTGGTAATTCATCTAAGTAAAGTGTAACAGTCGGCCTTTCCGTTCTTCACCTTTTATGATGTCCTGCCGATCCTGTTGTCCCTGGAGACCGCTGTGATTCTGCCCTTCTGTGTACTGGCAGCCGTACCGAACAACCAGAAACATGTTTGTTTTGCTGCTGCTCAAACTTTTGAAACATTTCACAACATGCAAGGCAGGTACACGCTTTCCAGGTGTGGTGATCTTTTCTCTTGATGGTTGTCTGGTGAGGTAAAACATTTCGTGCATCTAATTCGCTTGAACTTGAACAGCCGTTTATGCCCATGTGGCTTGACTTGACCACGGTCCCTTTGAGGGAATAACGCACGACTTTGTAAACTAGCAGTGAACTGAATCCCTTTAATAACTTTGTTTTTTCACTGTCGTCATCAACTAGTCCCCCCATTCGGTCCCTAATTCTTCCCCCGTGCCCCTCGGTAATGTGTTGTGGGGTTCAGGTGTGTGCTCTGTGTTTGTCAGGTCCGTTTCGCCGTGTAGGTTGGTTCTGGAGGTCCGTTTGTTCCCCTCCCCCCCCTGCGCTGTTTCGGCCTTGGCCCGTCGTTTGTGTCCGCTTTTCTCTTCCTCTTGCCTTTCAGGGTTTACCCGGTCCCGGCCGGGTGTGTGTGTGTGTGTGGGTGTGTGTGTTCAGCAGTGTGTGTGTGTGTGTAACATCTGAATAGATGTAAAACCTCTCCTTTTTCTTTTTTCTCTCCTTCTACATTGCAGGGGGATCAGGGACGTTTGGCCTGGCCTGATCCAACGAAGCTCCAGCCATTCGTCAGGATATGATTGAGGGACGCCTCGATCACGTACCTGTTCTTGATAAGTTGAACTGTTGACTTCAGTTTCTTTTAACCGCCGTGCTGTGTTTGCATCAGTTCAATTTGAATTTCTAGGGTCTTGATTTCATTCCTCCGACATGGCAACCGGCTAAGCAAAGAACCGGAAGGGGATTCAGTTCCCATCGGATCTCTTAAAAGATCCACTCTTGTCTAGTGTGTGCAAGCAGCTTCTCTGTGTCAAGACTACTCTGTATAAAGACTTCTCTGTGTAAAAGCTTCTATGTGTAAAACCTTTCCTGTGTAAAAGTTTCTCTGTGTAAAAGATTCTGTGTGTAAAGTCCTCTCTGTGTACAAGCTTCTCTGTGTAAAAGATCCCCGTGTAAAGCTCCTCTGTGAAAACCCGTGCCAACAGCTCCGCATTTTCAGTGCCACTCCCTCCCAGCAGAGCTCTTCCCAAGCTATTTCCCCACCTGTCCGTTCACGCTCATGGGTTATCGTTTAGTTTGCTTCGCTGCAAAGGGAGCAAAAACCAAGCATCGACGGACAGAACGCCGAGCAAAATGAAAACCCCTCCAGCAAAGAACCTTTTCTCATGCATGTCCGACATGTCCCTTTGCCCAACGTTTAGACACCGTTTGAGAAGTCTTTATCTTTACACAAGCGGCAACAAAATGAAGAGTTGAACATCTTCAAAGAAGTGGCCATATATCTTCCCCAGGTGCGTCGCCCAGGCTTCCAATTTGGAGGCGGGCTGCACCAACGGAAAAGAGGAATAGCCAACAAAACCGTCACAGGGAAAAACCTTCTTGGAAGGGAAAAAACCCTGCGCCAAAACAAGGGAGGACGGACGTATGCCGACGAATCCATGCCCCCCAGCAAAAAAGGATAGGCCGCGTCAGCCGTGGGCACCAGTTTTTCGGGACAATCGCATTGATGGAATTTGTCCTCTGCTATTTTAGTCTTGCTCCCTGTCAACGAAGCTATGCATGTCCCATGGACCAGGGTTTGGAAACTTTGACAAGTCTTGGGCGCACAGTTTTTTGAAACAATCGTATTGATGAAATTTGTCCTGAAAAACCCGCCAACGGCTGTGCATTTTTAGTGTCGCTCTCTCCCTACGCAGCTCTCCCCAAGCTATTTCCACGTCTTGGACCCACAGTTTTTCAGGACAATCGCGTTGATGGAATTTCCCCGAAAAACCCGTGCCACGTTGCATTTTTGCATCGCTCCCTCCCAGCGGAGCTCCCCCCAAGCTATTTCCACGCTTCACAGTCCATGCGCGCTCGTCCGGCGTTCTCGCCTCGCTCCCTCCACCGGAGCTCCCCTCAGACTATTTCCACGCCTCACAATCCATCCACACTCGTCCGGCGCTCGCTCCCGTCTTGCTCCCTCCAGCATAGCTCCGCCCAAGCTACGCTTGCCCGGCGCTTCCGTCTCGCTCCCTCCAGCATGCAGAGCTGTCCCCAAGCTATTTCCACGCTTCACAGGCTCCGGCGCTCCCGTCTCGCTCCCTCCAGCGGGGCTCCCAAACCATTTCCATGCTGTCACCCAAACGATTTCCATGCTGTCACAATCCATCCACGCTGGTCCAGCGCTCCTGCCTCGCTCCCTCAAGCGGAGCTCCCCCAAGCTATACCACGCTTCACAGTCCATCCACGCTCGTCCGGCGCTTCCGTCTCGCTCCCTCCAGCGGAGATGCCCCCAAGCTATTTCCAAGCTATTTCCACGCTCCGTCCGCGCTCGTGCCTTCCTTCCTTCCTTCCTTTCTTCCTTCCTTTCTTCCTTCCTTCCTTCCCCCTTTCCTTCCTGCCTTCCTTCCTTCCTGCTCGTCCGGCTCTTCTGTCTCCCTCCCGTCGCGGGAAAGTAAACTAAACGAGAACCCAAGCATCGGAGATGCTTTTGGGAAAAAACAACAGCACACCGCAGCGGCATCTGTAGCATGCATGCTGGTTCCGCCGGAATAATATGACTTCCAGTTGGTGTAATGTTGATGTCTTGGCCAGGCCTTGCCGTCTTTACTGCCTTCATGGCCTTCACAGCCTTCACGGCCTTTACGGTCTTCACCGGCTTCGCTTTCTTCACCTTTTCAACTTTTGCACCTTTGGCTTTCACATCTTTCGTCAACTTTCCCTCAGCACTCTTGCAGAGCCGCGCATTGGTGGAAAAAAACCGTCAGGGGATGTGGGAGGTTGTTGGCGCTCATGGTGCTGATCATCAGCGACGTTGAAGGCCCTAAGAATGATATACCACTTCATGACTTGTCATCAAGCATTTGCCAGTGATGGTCATTCAAAGGTAATCACCGGAACAAAGTAATTAGAACAGACAAACCCCGACAAACAGCCACCCCTGCCAATGAAAAGAATTCCCAAAGCGCAGCTTTGAAGCTGAAACCATTTGAAACCATCCTTCTGGGTCTGCACTGTGTCTGATCTCAGGACCGCGCTGATTTTGTTGCCGGCTTGGCCTTCGAAGTAAAGCCGGGACGAGCATGGGAGGAGCCATTTCGAGGACTTCCAGTGCAACGAGAACTCTGCAGACAAGACGTTTGGAATCCGCAAGATTTCGCAAGTGCCTTCGAAGTCTTTACTTTCTCCTTCGGACGGAGTAAAACGCCGACAAATTACAGCAAAGAAATTCTCGAACAAAGCGAACCTGCGTCATGAATGCATGTAACTGCACAAATGATATGCTGGGATATGAGGTGGAATACAAAACAATTCTCAGCCCTTTCCCCTTCAGATGTTTGAATTGCAAGAATCCCTCAAGCACAAAGCAATACAGTGACTCAGTACAGTAAGTACAGGGGTCTGGGGTCTGTTGTTCGAGCAAAAGTCCGTGTGGTCGTTTTCTGTGCTGATATGTGCCTTGGACATCCTTGGGCGCCAAAGAGTTTGTGAACATTCTATGAACATCCATGTGTTTACCGAAAGCATCCATCTACATACGCCAATCTACCCCGTGCGACAGTGGCAAAATACGCCGGTCAGCAAGGCCGAAGGCCACATCAAAAGCCACGTCGCCTTGAACTTCAGTGGGCTCGATGGCTCAGAGAGCATCAGCATTCGTTCCACCAAATTCTCCTTTGAACCTGGCACAAGAAGCAACAATGGAGTAAAGATGGGGCAAAGAAATGCAGCATAATCAAGCAGACTAAAGCAACCAGCAAGTTCAAACGCGGACATGCTCAAAAAGTTCCTATTGGAAAAGCACCAGCGAAACCATTAAATTGCAATCATACGGTATGCAATCTTTCTCGGCCATGCTGCAGATGAAAGGACGTCAGTGGTTGCTAGCCACTTCGCTTGCCTGTGGTGACAACACCCTGGGATTGCAAATGCTTCTTCAATGTTGAAACCGACCATTGGAGGCACTCCTGCAGCAGTAATAGCATGTTTGCGCTTTTTAACTTGCTTCTATCACGCACACCCTTTGGTTTGAGAGCTGTCATGATCTAGGTTGCCATGGGTTTCTGATTGCTGCGAGGCAGCACGTGTTTGACGAGACCAGTCAAGCAATGTCACGCAGCTGTCCTCTGCAGACAACATGGCGGTTATATGGCAACTATGTGGCTACTGTTGCTCACTTGGTACACTTTGGCGCGCTTTGGTGCATTTGGTCAATACAGCAGAAGCTGCATTGCAAGAAGCGTCAAAGCCAGCGGGTGCCTAGGTTCTGCTCCTAGTTCTGATGCTGGAAATTGGCTTTCCTGTTCTTTTCACAACCCTTGCCGTGTACGGAAGCATCCAGCCAAAATGGCTTTTGTTTAGTAAATAAAATCCCAGAAGCTATTGCAAAAGAATAAGGCCCTTCTCCCCATCCAGTGCCAATAGGAGCCAATTCAATATTTTCTAATACGATCTTCAGCAATTGAATGGAGCTCCCTAACTCGGGCCTTCTTCGAAAGCAGTGGTCAAAGATTTCCTGACCGTGACAGGTGAGCGGCAGCACCCACTACATCTCACTAGGTTCCACCAGACGTGTTCCTTGAAATTGGCCAGCTATGACCAGCTTAAGAGTGCGACTAAAGAATTTCAAAGCATCTTGCCTGGTTTTGGCTTTGGGCATTGGGGCGCTGGCTGCGCCCAAAATCCGCTGGGGATCGCTGGGGCCCAATCAAGAGGCTCCCTACGGTGGTTTCCGTCTTCTCTTCACTAATTATCGTTCTTTTGAGCCAGGATCACATTGCAAACAGCTGGAGAATGAAGACGAATCAAGCAAAATCAAATAAATACTGCATGCCCAGCATGCCCCGCAAAATGCCCGCTTCACAAAGCCAGCCCGCTTTAGTTCTCTTCCCGCGTGTGGATGGCAAAACGGTATCCTTGCTGAGCAGCCGGGCCGGGTAGGACTTCTGCCCATTGAAGCACGGCATGCCAAATCGAGTGAAGGCTAGGGCTAAAGGGGCCAAAGGCCAAAGGCTTTTAAATTCGGAGGAAAGTTGTGACATGTTCAGCTTCTTTCAGCTGCTTTCAGCCGCTCTCAACCTACATTTTCTCTATACAAATGTCGAAAGTGCAGGTGACAAAGCAGTGGCTCTGACGGTGGCTGCAAGCTACTGGGTGCTCGAAGCATTAGGACAGACCTGGACAGAGAAACATATTTCTTTCTGGCCGGCGTGACTCAGTTGCATTGACGAAAAATCATGAAAATTCATCTTTGGCTCCCGTCCTTCGCCAGTCCTAACAGATTGAAAAGCTGCTTGCTGACCTCAGACACCGCAAGATGCCCTTCTTGAAATTGGCACATCGGGTATCCAGCCTGCATCTAGATAGTGGACCACCTCTGCAAACAGGTTTTCCGAAAATAATCTTGACCGTACGATGACAGACCTTCATTGCGGTCTGATACAATAGCACTATGCTCCAAGCTGATTGCACTGCACTGCATCGGACTGAGATCCGTCTTAGAACTCCACCAGCCATCTTGCTGCTAAGTGGCTGAGCCTTTGCCGGAGATCGGTTGATGAGTTCGTCGCAACTCTCACCTGTCGAAGGATGAGAGTTGAACCAAAGCCTTCTGACAGTTCTCGCTCAGAACTCAGAAAGCAAAGGAGTCTGGAATAGTCTGGAGTTCTGGGCTTGCCTGAATAGATGTCTTTACCATCCTGTCGCGGGGAGAAGATTTTCACCACAAGCTCAAGACATGGCACAACGACACGACAAACATATTGATAGTCACATGAAAAGTAGAATTAAGTAAGCCTAATAAAGGATAATAAAGGTAAATTTGAATAATTGAATGACTAATGACTAAACAGGACACACACATACATATGTATCTATGTATGCATACATACATGCATGGATGAATGCATGGATGGATGGATGGATGCATGGGTGGGTGGATGGGCGGATGCATGGATACATAGATGCACGGATGGCTGCATGGAAGGATGGTTGGACGATGTTGGACGGACGGATGCGTGGATGTATGCAGCATGCATGTATATAGGTAAATAGGTATGTAATATATATATATATATACATACATATGTACATATATAATATAAAACAATAGATATATATTAATATACTACACACACATATATATATATATAAATAATAACAATAAAAATTTTAAATATATATATATGTATATATATATATGTGTATATATATATGTGTGTGTATATATATATATATAGATATGTGTATATATATACTTGTGTGTATACATATATATATATTCTGTACCTGCATACATGCGCATTTATCGATTCCAGCTTGACTAAATGTGTATCTTCTCTCTCTCCATCGCCATCTCAGGAGATCAGCAGTCAAGCTGAATGTGTATCTGTATCAACCCATTTTATCCTATTTAATTTAAGATGTTCCCGTCCACAGAGAAACTACAAAAAGATGAAAAAACGCTGGTGAAGGGGAATGTGTGTGACAAATCATTTGCATAACATAAATTAAATAATGACTACACACTACACTAGGAGACTTGATGGAGGTGAGAAACCGGCATTGACATGTTGCCAACACGTCGCACAACAAGCGAACCCAGAAAAACATGACAGACAGAAAACATATAAAGCAAATGAAAACAATCGTTTCTATCATTTCTGAAGATGATAGGCTGCTAGATGCTAGTGGATGCTGCTGGATGCTGCTAGATAGTTTCAACACGTGGCTAAACCAAAAAAAAAGGTCAACTCTTTGGCCTTTTTGGAGCGCTCGACAGTGACTGTAGCCGCGATGGCCTACACGGCAAGGGGATTGGTGAAACGGGGCGCATTTTCGCCCAAACAGAAAGGGATGTTGTAATATAATATGATGTAATGTATGTATGTATTGTAATGTGTAGTGATGCGTAGTGGCTCAGGAAGCCCAGGGTTTCTGACAATACCTTATCACATCTTATCATGTCTGCTCAGACCTTTGAAGTGCACAGCAGGACTGAAACTACAAGGAAGTTTCATCACAGCTGAAAGATCATAAACATATATAAACATCCATCACTGAATCACGTTTCATCTCTAGAAAACGTGAAGCCACCGAACTTCACCGAACAGTCTGTTTTGCTCCATGCGCCCAGTCCTCCGCCATGCGGCCATGCAAATCTGTGCTCGGGTGAAAGAGGTCCGTCCTTGGCACAAGGCCAGAAATAGAACGACCAACACACTGGAATCTATCACAAGCTTGCTAGTGACCAACCGTGACCAACCCCACAAACTGAAAAGGCTCATTAAACATTTATTTACTTCCATACTCAATGAAATCTTGTATTTACATTTGCGTTATATAACAATGGCGCTTATATTTTATGTATCTCTTGAACTGCTTCTCGGTACAGTACATATTAGCAACAATTTAGAGATGATTGAGATTCTATGAGATTCTTACTTGTTGTGATTTCCAGTGAAATCTCTTGGAGTTTGCTTCTTGCATGGCTGCCTCTGAGGCAAAAACACGAAGAGGCCACACCGAGCACAAATATTCCCAAAAGGTCCAACCTCAATTGAAAACTCACTCAAGTCACTCAAGCCATGTCAAGCCACTCAAATAACTTAAGTCTCTCAAGATCTCTCAAGACTTGACCCCAGTGATAGTGCAGCTTCATGTCTTCAGAATAGCTTCAGCATTCCCATTTCCATTAGTCCAAGACGATGCCTCAATATATGACATATATGCAGGTGCATCGAGGTTCAAAACGCTCTGAAGGCCATGTAGGTCATGCAAAATCAAGCAAATAGAAGGCTGTTAGTGCCAAGAGGTGCTTCTGATCTAAATGTCCTGTCTCTTGAGAAATTCTCTCTCTCTCTCTCTCTCTCCCTCCCTCTCTTTCTCCATCGCCTTCAGACTAGGCTCTTCAGAAATTGCTTGATTGTATTTGATTGCCAACATTTGTCAACTTTATGTCTTTCAGATTCTTATAGGTTCTTTCAGCCTCACCGGGTGTCAAGCCAAGCAATTGAGAAGTTCAGCTTCTCGAACATGCCCAATTTGAACGTCCTTCCCTGGAGCTTGCAATGTCCGATCGATCGACGGGCTTCATGCCTGTGCTTCTAAGGGTCAACGGCTCAGCGGCGCACACAGATCACGCTCAGCGGCGCACACAGCCAAAACTCAGCCACGCACACAGATCAGACTCACCCACGCACACAGATCAGACTCACCCACGCACACAGATCAGACTCACTCACGCACACAGACCAGGCTCACCTGCGCACACAAATTTGACTCAGCCATACACACACACAGGTTTCAGCCTATTCTTTGCACACACAAGTAAGACACCCTGATCCACAGCCATCTCAAGCATTGCACCGTGAACATCTAAAATCTAACTCTTTATCTAAACTTCCCCCCCCTTGCCTTCCACAATGCCATCATCTTAAATCTAACTCTTTATCTAAACTTCCCCCCCCTTGCCTTCCACAAGGCCATCATCTAACACCTAACTCTTTATTTAAACTTTCCCCCCTTGGCCTTCCACAATGCCATCATCTCAAATCTAACTCTTTATCTAAACTTCCCCCCCCTGGCCTTCCACAAGGCCATCATCTAACACCTAACTCTTTATTTAAACTTTCCACCCCTGGCCTTCCACAATGCCATCATATAACACCTAACTCTTTATTTAAACTTCCCCCCCTGGCCTTCCACAATGCCATCATATAACACCTAACTCTTTATTTAAACTTCCCCCCCTGGCCTTCCACAAGGCCATCATATAACACCTAACTCTTTATTTAAACTTTCCACCCCTGGCCTTCCACAATGCCATCATATAACACCTAACTCTTTATTTAAACTTCCCCCCCTGGCCTTCCACAATGCCATCATATAACACCTAACTCTTTATTTAAACTTCCCACCCTGGCCTTCCACAATGCCATCATCTCAAATCCAACTCTTTATCTAAACTTCCCCCCCCTGGCCTTCCACAATGCCATCATCTCAAATCCAACTCTTTATCTAAACTTCCCCCCCTGGCCTTCCACAATGCCATCCTCTCAAATCTAACTCTTTATCTAAACTTCCCCCCCCCTGGCCTTCCACAATGCCATCATCTCAAATCTAACTCGTTATCTAAACTTCCCCCCCCTTGCCCTCCACAATGCCATCATCTAAATCTAACTCTTTATCTAAACTTCCCCCCCCCTTGCCCTCCACAAGGCCATCATCTAAACCAAACTCTTTATTTAAACTTCCCCCCCTGGCCTTCCACAATGCCATCATCTCAAATCTAACTCTTTATCTAAACTTCCCCCCCCTGGCCTTCCACAATGCCATCATCTCAAATAAAACTGCTATCTAAACTTTCCACCCCTGCCTTCCACAATGCCATCATCTCAAATCAAACTCTTTATCTAAACTTTCCCCCCCCCTTGCCCTCCACAAGGCCATCATCTAAAACCTACCTCTTTATCTAAACTTTCCACCCCTGGCCTTCCACAATGCCATCATATAACACCTAACTCTTTACTTAAACTTCCCCCCCTGGCCTTCCACAATGCCATCATATAACACCTAACTCTTTATTTAAACTTCCCCCCCCCTGGCCTTCCACAATGCCATCATCCAACACCTAACTTTTTATTTAAACTTCCCCCCCCCTGGCCTTCCACAATGCAATCATATAACACCTAACTCTTTATTTAAACTTCCCCCCCTGGCCTTCCACAATGCCATCATATAACACCTAACTCTTTATTTAAACTTTCCCCCCCTGGCCTTCCACAATTGCCATCTCTCAACTCTAACTCTTTATCTAACTTCCCCCCTGGCCTTCCACAGTGCCATCAATCTCAAATCTAACTCTTTATCTAAACTTTCCCCACCCCGGCCTTCCACATGCCATCATCTCAAATCTAACTCGTTATCTCTAACTTCCCCCCCTTGCCCTCCACAATGCCATCATCTTAAATCTAACTCTTTATCCTAAACTTCCCCCCCCTTGCCCTCCACAATGCCATCCTCTAAAACCTAACCTCTTTATCTAAACTTTCCCCCCCTGGCCTTCCACAATGCCATCATATAACACCTAACTCTTTATTTAAACTTCCCCCCCTGGCCTTCCACAATGCCATCATCTCAACTCTAACTCTTTATCTAAACTTCCCCCCCTGGCCTTCCACAGTGCCATCATCTCAAATCTAACTCTTTATCTAAACTTCCCCCCCCCGGCCTTCCACAATGCCATCATCTCAAATCTAACTCGTTATCTAAACTTCCCCCCCCTTGCCCTCCACAATGCCATCATCTTAAATCTAACTCTTTATCTAAACTTCCCCCCCCCTTGCCCTCCACAATGCCATCATCTAAAATCTACCTCTTTATCTAAACTTCCCCCCCATGGCCTTCCACAATGCCATCATCTCAAATCTAACTCTTTATCTAAACTTCCCCCCCCTTGCCTTCCACAATGCCATCATCTTAAATCTAACTCTTTATCTAAACTTTCCCCCCCTTTGCCTTCCACAAGGCCATCATCTAACACCTAACTCTTTATCAATGTCAGCGTGTATACACACCAGCACGGGACCCTTGGTGCCTGTCATCTTACGCATTGCCTGTTCCTCTCCGCGCATATATGTGCACGCGTGCGAAAAGTAAAGCAACTACGTCTGGCTTGCCTTCAGCTCACGCTTGAAAAGAAAAAAGAGACCCATGAGTATGTGCCATGTTCTACTGTTGCCAGATAAGACCTGATAAAGTAGCACACACGCTGTCACTACCTGCCAGTGCTCGTCCTATACGTGACTCTGGTACGCGTGCGCACATCAACATCATCTACTCTTCGCATCCGAGAAAGTCTTGCGATAACGCAGCACTATCTATGCGCATGGATACATACGATCTACTATACTGCAACAAACTAAGTGCGTTTCTAATTGCCAGGACATCTGCTGTACCATTCCAAGTAGCTTGACCTCTGCCGGCGCATGAACGACTGGTCCCTAGAAATGAACCTGCATGCACTCAAGATCCTGTCATCATATAGCAACAAAGTGCAAGCATGCGATCATCACAGCTATGGCCACAACATATGTCTCTGCGCGTGTATGGCTGAGTTGATTTCGCGTGTATAGCTGAGTCAAATTCGCGTGTATGGCTGAGTTGGTTTCGCGTGTACAGGCGAGTCAATTTCCGCGTGTATGGCTGAGCAAAATTTCGCGTGTACTGCTGAGTCACGGACCCTTCTAAGACTCGGAGTTTCTATTGTAAATATAACCCGTCATTAGTTGTTATAATTAGTATGCATTTCGGCCGGCACTTCAGAAAAATTGTTCACTTCTAGGAGCGATTCTAGCTTGTCGTTCGTCTCGACCAGTGACCCTTCCAATCTATCAATGCTTTCACTCAGCGTGCGTTAGAAGTGAGAAGAGCCTTTCTCTGCTGAGCTTTCTCGCACATCCTGCCATCACAGCACTGGGCAATAAAGGACAGCAAGCTGTCACGCTTGAACAGATTGATGTGTCATCTGGTTGAAGTTGTTGTAAAATATGGCCCGACATGTTCATGTTGGACCCGTTTGCAGCAAGAATGCCTAAAATAGACTGATGCCGGCGCTACTGTGGCCTGACATGGTGAACAACTAGCTGGTATGTGGGAGAGTATGTTTTTTGATGCCCGTGTTTTCGAATGTCGTTGGGGGGTTCGGAAAAACTGGGATGAACCAATGTCAAGGTCTCAAGGAGATTTCCGATAGACGCGGCTACAAAGGCGCCAAGTGACTGCAGTGGGGAGTTCAATCAAATCTTGCTTGGACTGACTCAATTTTAGGGCTGGGAAGGCAGCCAGTGCGAGGGGACATCAACTCCTGGTTGCCTAAAGCATCAAACTACGACCTTAGAGTACCTTGATATACCTTGATATACCTTGGTATATCTTGAATTCCTGTTCCAATTCCTGCTTTCACAAGAGTCATCAGGTTTTTAAGGTAGAATAATTTTGTGCTATATAACAAGGCATCCTCAAAAATAATGTCCCGATAAAACAAGGGAACCAACTTTTTAAGGTGACCATAGAATCAGAGCTGTTGGGTGAATCTGGGAACCACCTACAAGCCCAAAAGGGCCCACAGCTGTAGTAAACCCAGGTTTAAACTGGCATTTTGAAATTTACACCCTGGCTTCTGGCTGCCACTTGTGATTTCATTCGCCCTTTTCAACAGTTTTACGGGGTTCTTTTTGTAGGGATTTGTCGGGTTAAGCCAAGCTAGTGTTGCAAGATCTTCCCAAATCCATCCCTTTGACACCATGCCAACATTCACAGCCCGACCCTGGCCAAGCAAAAGGTTCTCAGCATGGTAGGTTAGGTCTTCAAAAGTTTTCAACATGCCCGGGGAGTGTTCAAAACATACTTAAAAGATCTTAAAAGTAATATCAAACCATCGCGGATCCTGCCCCTTGAATGGATGCCCTTTTGAACCCCTTCAAGGGACATGCAGTGCCCAGAATGTACCAAGATGGACCATCGTATGAAAGTTGAACTGGCCTTGTTAGCTGGATTCTTATATTATGAATCATGCTTACTTGTTTGATATTGCTGGATCATGTTTCCAATGCCTGGTACTCACTGGATTTCATTGGTGATGTGTTCTGATTCATTAACCATTTGAAGCGGAACATGTCTGAGATGATCTGACATTTGCAGCATGCATGAGCATGCTTGAATGCTCTGAGACTCTAGGATAAAGGGCAAGAGATTGCACGACAGAGACATCAAACACAACCAAGAAAACATAAACAGTGCCTTCACCTTCACCCCTTCACTGTGAAATTGGGCGGCTCTAAATGCATAAATAGTATGGAATAAAACGTGAAGCACTAGGGCAAAATAACATCAGAGCATCACCATCACACAGCAAAACGGGGACACTATTGTATATGGGCGCGGAATTAAGTTGGCATTTTTTTTTTGCATTTTTTTTTTGTTCGGGGTTGGGTTCCTTGCTTTTTCATTGTTTTTCCAGCACTTTTCATCAATTTTCCAATTGTTTTTGCTAGTTTTCCAGCGTTTTTCCTCCATTTTCCATAGTTCTCTATGATTTTCTAGCGCGATCCATCAGTTTTCCATAGTTTTCAAAAATTTTCTAGCGTTTCCCTCAGTTTTTCGATGGTTTTTCTTGTTTTTCTTCGCTTTTGCATTGTTTTTTCTATGTTTTTCATTGTTTTTCTATATTTGTCGTGCTTTTCTAGCGTTGTTCATCCGCGGGAGGAGGGCTCTTTTCAATAATTGTTGAGTATATGGGTTTTGTTACTTTGTTCTTGTTGTTCTTGTTCTTGTTCTTGTTCTTCTTGTTGTTGTTGTTGTTCTTCTTGTTGTTGTTGCTGTTGTTGTTCTATTTCTATCGCAGTTATTCCTCTGTCTATCGATCTATCTATCTTTTAATAATTGTTGCGGTTGTGGCGGTTGTGGTGCTGGTTGTGGTTGTGGTTGTGCTTGTGATGGTGGTTGTTGTGGTTGTGGTGGTCGTCGTCGTCGACTTCCCAGCAAGGGGAGGGTCGGATTAATTAAAAAAAAAAAACGGGTGGAGGGCGCGGGGGGAGGGCGCAGCGCCTCCCCCCGCAATGCGTGCTATGCGACTTGCACCCCGGCGTTGTTTTCTCCCCATTGTTTGGATCGATTTTGATGGTGTTATTTGTTACTGTTGCTGTTTGCTGTTTTAAAAAAAAGCGGGTGGGGGGCACGGGGGGAGGGCGCAGCGCCTCCCCCCGCAATGCATGCTATGCGACTTGCACCCCGGCGTTGTTCTCTCCCCATTGTTTGGATCGATGTTGATGGTGTTATTTGTTATTGTTGCTGTTTGCTGTTGCTGCTTTTGTTGTTGTTGTTGTTGTTGCCATTGTTTTGAAGACAGGCGGCACCTATTTCTATCGCAGTTATTCCTCTGTCTATCGATCTATCTATCTTTTAATAATTGTTGCGGTTGTGGCGGTTGTGGTGCTGGTTGTGGTTGTGGTTGTGCTTGTGATGGTGGTTGTGGTTGTTGTGGTTGTGGTTGTTGTGGTTGTGGTGGTCGTCGTCGTCGACTTCCCAGCAAGGGGAGGGTCGGATTAATTAAAAAAAAAAAACGGGTGGAGGGCGCGGGGGGAGGGCGCAGCGCCTCCCCCCGCAATGCGTGCTATGCGACTTGCACCCCGGCGTTGTTTTCTCCCCATTGTTTGGATCGATTTTGATGGTGTTATTTGTTACTGTTGGTGTTTGCTGTTTTAAAAAAAAGCGGGTGGGGGGCGCGGGGGGGAGGGCGCATGCGGAAAACTCATGCCAACATTAAGAAAAACTTATGGGAATTTAAAAAACTCATAGAAACATTTTAAAAAAATGGAAAGAAACGCAGCCAGAAGCTAGAAGCCAGAAGCCGCAGCCAGAACCGCAGAAGCCAGAACAAATACCGCGTTGTTGGGCTGATGTTTTATAGTCATATTTAAAACCCCAACGGAAGATTCGTTTGTTGGAGGTTATTTCAGGGATATGTTGGGCCTATGTTGGGTCATTATAGGCTAGGTTGGGCCTATATTGGAGCCAGGTTGGGTCTATGTTTAAATAAGAATGATGGAAACATGAAGAAGAAAATCCAAGCAGCACGAGCCAGACACGAAGCCAGAAACTAGAACCGCAGCCAAAAGCCAGAAGCAAGAAGCTAGAATCCAGAAGCCGCAATAGTCAGAAGCCAGAAGCCGCAGAAGCCAAAAGCCAGAAGCCAGAAGGTAAAGGCATGAAGAAAACTCATGTAAAAATGAAGAAACTGAAACCTATGGAAAAATGAAGGCAACAATGCAAAAAATATGTTTCATTTAGGGTTTCTTTAGGGTTTCATTTAGGGTTTCTTTTACGATGTCTTTGGCGTTTCATTTAGCGGTTTCATTTAAGGTTTCTGTAGGGGTTCATTGATGCTTTCATTTAGGGTTTCTTTAGGGTGTCATTTAGGGTTTCTTTAGGTTTTCATTTATAGTTTCTTTAGAGTTCGTTTAGGGTGTCATTTAGGGTCTCTTTAGGGTTTCACACACATCAACTCACATAGATATAGTAGGAGGCCAGATTCAACAAGTGTCCTGAGATTCTTTTTTCAGACATAAAAAAGGAGCTCGTGAGGACACTTGATGTTGAAAAAGGTTGCAGTTTCTCTCCGATAAGCATGCATATAAACTCAAAGGTACACAGGGAAACTTCTGACTGCCATGCAACGATTGTGAAACACAATTCAAACAAATATAGTTGGAAAACAACAGTTCAACAAGTGTCTTGAAATAGGGTCTCTTTCATTTAGGGCCGGTTTCTTTAGGGTTTCTTTAGGGTGTCATTTGGCATTTCTTTAGGGTTTCATTTTTAATTTCGTTAGGGCTCGTTTGGGGTGTCATTTAGGGTTTCTTTAGGTTTTCACACGCATCAACTCACATAGATATAGTAGGAGGCCAGATTCAACAAGTGTCCTGAGATACTTTTTTCAGACATAAAAAAAGAGCTCGATAGGACACTTGATGTTGAAGAAGGTTGCAGTTTCTCTCCGATAAGCATGCATATAAACTCAAAGGTACACAGGGAAACTTCTGACTGCCATGCAACCATTGTGAAACACAATTCAAGCAAATATAGTTGGAGAACAACAGTTCAACAAGTGTCTTGAAATAGGGTCTTAAGAACTTTAGGAACAGCAAGTAGTTGGGACACTTGTTGAAAACAGGTCTCAATTCCTCTCACAACAGCATGCATATAAGCTCATATTACGACTGTAGTTTCTGCGCAGTTTACATGAAATTTATATGCAGTGTCTTCTATGAAATTATGACATGTTATATGCAAACTACAATACTACACATACATTCAACAGAAGTGCGGCCAAAAGCCAAAAGCCAAGTGAAACCAAAGCCAGAAGCCAAAAGCCAAATGGGCATGCAAATTGATTCCAAACTGCAGCAAATAGCACGCAAATCAGAGATTTTGGCTCCAAAATGCTGCAAATACAAGCCAGAAGCCAGAAACCGAAGGAGCCAGAAGCCAAAAACCAGAAGCCAAAAGCCAGAAGCCAGAAGCCAAAAAAAAAATGCTAAAAAAATAATGCCAAAAAAAATGCCCCTCCATTGTCATCATGAAAACATGTTGCAAAGCACACTAACCGTCTGATTTTACAGAGGAAATTGATGTGGGTATTATCTTTCAATATTTCAGATGCCACAAGTTGCTTGGACGGATGCTTTGATATTTTTGTAGTTTGCCGGTGAGATCCCTGCCAATTCCTGAAGCATGGATTCCATTTGTTGGCTCATCCAGCGGCCCCTCCTGCGCAAGCACATGAACCGAGGACATTGGCTAACATCTGAGGATATTGGCATGTCATAGCATATCTGAGCGGTAGTATGTTGAATCGCGTTGCATACGTACTGTACGTTGCTGTACGATGTGCAGTGTCACAGGTGTGAGAGTAATTTGGCGCTTCTAGGCTGGGGCCCAAACTTGTTCACCCTTGCTAGCCGGGCCATTTGAAGCGCTGGTACCACAGAGGTAAATGGCCTCACAAAGGGGGAGATTAAAACTACATCCCGACATCCTCTGCATCCTGGCGTAGCAAAACCGAGGAACTCAAAAAATTCTCCCGGCAAGAGACCCCAAACAGGCGGGGGAAGTAACAAAAAGAATGTGTTATAATGTTGATGATGATGTTGACGTTAATGATGATGTTGATGTTGATGGTGATGGTGATGATGATGATGATGACGATGGTGATGATGATGATGGTCATGGTGCTGATGATGATGATGATAATGATGATGGTGATGATGATGATGGTGAGGATACTGACGATGATGATGATGATGACGATGATGATGATGATGATGATGATGATGATGATGAAGGTGATGATGGTGATTGTTGTGATGACAATGGTGATGGTCATGATGATGGTGGTGATGATGATGATGATTGTGATGACCATGAGGATCATGATGATGATGGTGATGTTGATGGTCATGAAAATGAAGATGAAGATGATGATGATGATGATGATGATGGTGATGATGATGATGATGATGATGATGATGACGATGACGTGCGAGCCTGCGCAATCGAAATACACATGAACATTTCACAAGAACCATTTTGCGTGGAAATTTACAGGAACAGTGCTGTACGCCAATCCCGCGACACGCGTTTTGTGCGAGCCTGCGCAGTCGAAATGCACATGGACATTTCACAAGAGCCATTTTGTATGGAAATTTACGGGGGAAATGGCCGAGGACCCTCCGCGGCCACCGTTTTGTGCGAGCCTGCGCAGTCGAAATGCACATGGACATTTCGCAAGAGCCATTTAGTTTGGAAATTTAGAGGGAACATGGCCGAGGACACCTCCGCGGCCAGCGTTTTGTGCGAGCCTGCGCGGTCGAAATGCACATGGACATTTCACAAGAGCCATTTTGTATGGAATTATCCCGCCAAGAGACCCCAAACAGTGCGGGGGGAGTAACAGGAGAATGTATTATAAAGTTGATGATGATGTCAATGTTGATGATGATGTTGATGGTGATGGTGATGATGATGACGATGGTGATGATGATGATGGATGGTGATGATGAGGATGGTGATGATGATGATGATGATGGTGATGGTCATGATGTGATGGTGATGATGATGATGATGATGGATGATGATGATGCAATGATGATGGTGATGATGATGATGATGATGATGATGATGACGATGACGTGCGAGCCTGCGCAATCGAAATACACATGAACATTTCACAAGAGCCATTTTGTGTGGAAATTTACAGGAACAGTGCTGTACGCCAATCCCGCGACACCCGTTTTGTGCGAGCCTCCGCGGTCGAAATGCACATGGACATTTCACAAGAGCCATTTTGTATGGAAATTTACAGGGAAAATGCCACACGCGACGGATACCATCTCGATTGAACACCGGGCCTTAACTGTTACTGTAAGAACCCCCCAGTGCGGCCACACGTTTGGGGAAATTTAAAGGGAAAATGTCAAATGCGACGGATACCACCTCGATTGAACACCGGGCCTTAACTGTTACCGTAAGAAGCCCTCAGTGTGGCCACACTGTTTGGGGAATTAGAAAGTGAACCGGCATTACGTACTTGTAGCTTTCATATGCTTTCACAATGAGCTTCAATGCAAACTTGTGGGGTGATGTGTCACATCTTGGCACTCGTCCTCGGAAGTACTGAGATCCTTGCAAATCTGAGACGAGAAATTGCTCACATCCCAATTCCGCAAGTGCCTTCAGAAAGGTCTGCAAGTTTGTGAGAACCTGGCGGGTGGGCAAGCAGTAAATTTTATAAGTATAATAAAATGTGTGTGTGTGTTTATATATAAATATACCTGAGAAGTTAGGAACGAAAGCCAGCGGCATGCATTTTCTTGGCAAGTGCAAATGTCTTGACCCACATGGATATCTACATGCCGACGGACAAAAAAATGTATACTTGGTACGACATGTGAATTTAATATGTATGCCATATTCTATTCTATCCCAACTAACAACGAGCAAAAATACTATCATAAGTCCACACTGCATCAAAGTCATGGTGTGCCAGTCTCAAACGACATGCCCTGCGACGACAAAAAAAGAGTTTCTCCGCCCAACAAGGGCTGGTTTGAAGAATGTAATCTGATTTTTGCAGAAGAATTGACTAGATGGATAGATGCAAACATCGCTGGATAAATAGACAGCTAGATGGATAGATTAAAGATCGGCACATAGATCCATAGATCAATAAATGGAGTGAGGGACGGACAGATGGATAGATAGTCTAAATAGATAGATCGATGGATAGATCGGTCGATAGATAGATAGATAGATAGACAGACAGACAGACACAGACAGACGATTACATAGATAGCCAGATAGATGTATAGTAGTATAGATGGAGAGCTAGAGAGATGGAAAGATGGAAAAATGGAGAGATAATGCGATCAATGGTAGATGGATGAATGGATTTGCAGACAGAGACATAAATCGATGGATGGACCGAGAGATCGATCGATAGATAGATGGAAAGAGCAATGGATAAATAAATTGACGCACACGGATGGACAGGATCGATGAATCCATCGATGGATCGACCGGTCGGTCGGTAGATGAATATTCTGCATCGTGTCCTTTCTTTTACAAACTGCCCCACCCCCCACCCCCCTGGCGTCTGTCTTGTATGGTCAACACCCTCGCAACTCAGTCTATGTTATATACCTTTCTGTGTCTACACAAACCACATTTAATCTCTTTTTGCTCCCCCTACATATGTCTATAGACACACCTAGATTTATACACGCACACACTGTCATACTTTCCAAAACGGAAGATGTGCTCCCAGAGACCAACATACTCCCATCTAAACCACGCTCTACAAAAAAGAACACCTGCGCACCAACCTTTGACAAACCATATGCTGCATTGACGCTTGAAACTTCCCAGCATGCTCTGCTAAACCATTCAAAAACATATTCTGCACCGTCGAGTTCTGCACCGCCGAGTGCCATCAGTCTCACCTCCCTATCCGCTCCACCTCCAAACTCACGTTCTCCAAAGCACTGTAAAACCCCCTCAAGCCCGGCATATAGAACTGTCCCTAAAACCCGGCATACAGAATGCCACATGTTAACGATCTAGGCCTCCCACAAAGTCACTCCCATCTAAACCGCGCTCTGCAAAAAAGGACACCTGCGCACCAACCTTGACACACCACATGCCGCATTGACACTTGAAACTTCCCATCACGCTCTGCTAAGCCATTCAAGAAACATATTCTGCACCATCGAGTTCTGCACCGCCGAGTGCAAACAATCTAACCTCTCGATCCGATGAAGTTCACTCCACCTCCAAACTCACGCTGTCCAAAGAACTGTAAAACCCCCTCAAGCCCGGCATATAGCACAGGGTAAAACGGACAAAAACACACACCCTACTCCCCAGCAACCTGAGGGATTGGCCCCCTTATCTCACTTCGTTCGCATGGAACAACTTCGCTCATCCTTTGGGTCGCTTTCGTAACATAGGAACAATCGAGGCCTCCCAACTCCCAGAAGCACACTCCCATCTCAACCACGATGTACAAAAAAGAACACCTACACACCAACCTTGCACAAACCACATGCTGCATTGCCACTTCAAACTTCCCATCACGCTTTGCAAAGCCAGGCCAAAAACATATTCAGCACCATTGAATTCTGCACCGCCACATGCAAGCAAGCCAACGTCCCAAAGAAACAAACTCCACCTCCAAACGCACGCTCTCCATAAACCTGTAAAACCCCCCCAAGCAATCCCAAGCACCATCCCCCAAACCCGGCACGAACACCACATATTAACGAATTATTTCACATGGACAGCATGGCCCCGTTACAGTCCGAAGGTTCACGTGCTTATCGTGCTCTGCTAAGCCAGTCACAAAACATGCACAAAACATGTTCTGCACCGTCTCGCACCGCCGACTGCAATCAATTCAACCTCCCTATCCGATGAAGTACCCTCTCCCAAAACCAGCAAACCCAGAGAGGAATCGATACCCACCGTCACCCATTTGTCGCATGGTACATAACAGGACAAAAAACACACCCTACTCCCCAGCAACATGAAGGATTGGACGGCCACACGTCAACCCCTAACCCCCACACCCCCTAATCTCACTTCGTTCGCATGGAACAACTTTGCTCAGCCTTTGGCTGGCTTTTGTATATACATACATACAAATAAGTCTCTATACCCTGAGCGTGTTTTTGCCAACCTTGCAATATCATATATATCATGGTTTGGCATTTTGAGTTGGCAGCACATTCTGTACAGTTTCTCAGGGGGCTCCTTTTGATCGCTGCCGCATTAGCTGCTGAAAAAGCTGCGAAGAGCTGCGGCAGCTTTCCACATACCATTCTGAAGCGTCTGCAAATGCTGCAGAAAGCCATACCATCCATGCCCTTGAAAGCCATTCGCTGCCGCCTTCTTAAACCAGTAATCGGCTTCGTCACTAGCTCCAGCGTTTTTCAGGGCAATTCCCAGGTTGTATTGCGCCGCTCCGTGTCCTTTGCTCGCTGCAACGCGGAACCAAGACACAGCTGCGGAGATGTTTTGCGACGAACCTTCGAGGGAAGCCACGCCCAAAGCAAATGCTGCATCCGCATGCCCCTGTGTTGCTGCCTGGCGTAGAAAGTTCAAAGCTTCAGGCGTGTCACCAAGGCCTTGCCCAAGGATGTATTGAGCCTCAGGAGATCCAGCTTCAGCTGCAACCTGAAGCCAAAAGAATTCAGCTGATCGGTCTTCACTCTTCGCTGAAGATCCTGAAGCAACGGCTATCTCGTAGAAGGTTTCGCAGAAAGCAGACACTCGCGAGGCACCACTTGCAAGTGCTTTTCGTCCCCAAAATGCTGCAGCACTAAGATTTTGCGGGAGAAACTTGCCATCAATATTCATTTCTGCCAGCAAAAGCTGAGCTCTAACATGGCCTCGGTCTGATGCCTTTGAGAACCAATCTGCAGCCTCAAGGGCAGCGGGAACTTCCTTCTGAGAATCAAACTTGGTGAATTTTGCCAACCCAGAGGTTGTGGCATTTGTTGGGGCATTTGGAGTTTGGGAATGGAGTCCAGCGTTCAGGAAGTCATGTATCAAGGCACCAGCTCGGAAGATCGCTTCTAAATGGCCCTGCTTCGCCGCACGTCGGTACCAAGCCAAGGCATCCACGGCATTCAGAGCATCCAAGGCATCCAAGTCATCCAAGGAACCTAAGGCGTCAAAGTTTTGCCCAGAGCGGCCGCTGCCTGAAACATCTCGGCCTCGAAGGCCAAGTCTGAAGGCTTCAGCGACTTTGAATTGACTTTCAGCATCTCCAGCTTCTGCAGCTGAGACTTGAGACTGCCAGAAATGCACAGCCTCCCAATGGGCAGGCAAGTCTGACACCTGAAATCCAACGGCGCTGTGCATTTCTACAGCGTTGACCTTTGCAACAAGCTTTTCCCCGGGCAAAATGTCTCGGAGGGCTTTGATGTGCAATATTCCAGAGGATTTGAACGTATTCACTGTATCGTGCAACTGCTGTCTTTCAACTTCAGCGTCGAAGTTCACAGAGTAAACTACGTTGGCTTCTGTACTGACTGCACTTGCTTCCAAACTTCCAGGGAGTAGAAACGGCAAGAGCACGATATCCCACCCTGGATGCCCATAGCACCGGGACGTCACTTCCGCTTTCTCGGCTAGCCATCGCGGGATCAGAAAGAAAGGGCTTTGAATTGTATCCCCGGCGCTGATATGTGCAGCCGTCACAATGGTCTCACTAAAAGTGTCCGGCGCCAAGGTGTCAAGACACGCACCTGAGAATTCACCTGGAAGGTAGCGTAAGTTGTGAATCTCGGCAATGTCTGGCCTTTTGTATTCGATGTGACGATCCAGAAACCAGTCTTCGCTGCCATACGAGGTAAAAAGCTCCTCGCCTTCCTCGATGTCACGATCTGCAACTACTTCAATCACAGCTTCGGAAATCGAAAATCTCACGTTGACCATCTCAGCCCCATGGTTCAGCATGGATGCAGCTCCAAGGAGCACAGACATGACTTTCCCGTGCTGCAGGTGAAACGCATAATTCCAGAGAGGTGTTTGCTCAATCACTTCACGCCGGATCTGCAGTTCTCGGGTTTTTGTAATAGTTGAGCCTTCCTTGAAATGCCTCCCCGCAAAAACTCCCTGCCCCACACCTGGCAGCTTTGAGTTGGAAAGCCATATTTTGCAACTTCGTGCTGCCAAATCTGCTAACGTTAGCCATGAGAAAATTGCGAAGTGAAATAGGTTCATGGTGGCTTGCGGCGCGTTGGTCCACAAATGTCCAAAAGCGACATGAGCTCAAAGTGATCCTGCTATGCTTCTAGGTCTCCACATGCCGATGCAGCAAACAACACTAAAGAACATATTCAAGGCAAACATAATGAAAGGAACAAGAATGACAGAGACAACAATCACACATGAAAAGTACATGTAATAAATTTTCAAATCGATACATAATTATGCACATCATACTGGTAATATGATTTTTTCACATGCTCTCAGAACGTCGTGGAGCTTTGCAAAACAAAATGTCTCGGATAATTCCTGCCGGATAAATATCGATAAATTCTCTACTCTTGGAGAGGCACTCTGGATGATCTCACTTTGCGTGAGGGAAAACCACGAAACAAAACATCCAATCTTGATTGGCCCTGACGTCCCTCATTCTTCTTGCACTTCTTCTTTGGATGATGATCGGTGTGTCAAATCCATTCAAATCCCCCATTTCCTGTTCTCAAAGCAAGAATTTCAAACGGCTTGACCACAAAGCTCGCTGGCGAGCAGTCAAACGTGGTGACACATGAAGGTACTGTCCACCAACTTTGAGCAAAAGATGACAAAATCACATAAAATCTCATTTAAAAAACATAAAATGTCACATCATCAATCATCACATTGTCGCTGCCCTCTTTTGCATGGTGACATGAACCTGCGCCTATCAGCTGGAAGATGCTGGAAGCAAAGCCGATAATTCGTCACACGTGCCATGTACTTGCGCAAAATGTATCTTGGCAGATGATGTATACACCGCAGTGGCCTCCACGGCTTTCTTGCGGAAGCCAAAAGTCACATGCCTCAGTCAGTCGAACCCAACCATGTCAATACAACCACCTACACATATCGGGCTCATACAGTACCGCCCTTTACGACGTCATACGCGGACCATTCCCTGCCTACTTCAAACCACCGCAACATGATTACTTCAGCTGAGTGATTTTTGTTGCATTTTCATGCATTTTCCATGCATGAAACTCTCAGAAGGGTTGCTGTCTGTTGTGAAAATTTGCCAAAGCTATCCAAAGCTCAGGAATGCTGAGGCGCCCGCGGGATCCAGTTGTTCCCTGGAGCGAAAGGGTTGTAATTCTTCTCAGCACCGATAAAGTCATTGCCTCGGTAGTGCCGTCGATGGATATGCCAGGGCAAGTCCTTGAGGAATCCTGGCAAGATTGACACTGAGATCCCGTCCGCCAGAATGGAGAATGACAAGACCTAAATGAATTCTGAACATCTCTGAACCAAACAGAAACTGTATGTAACTGAGGAGCCGAGTTGAAGCGTTGACCCAGAGCTCAGAACAGTCCATTGACACAAATGAATACAAAAATGGCTTGGCAATGACAATTAAGGACATTGGCTGCACACTTTTTGCCCATGCACATCATGCACTTTGTTGCGATCCAATGTGATCCAGTACGCCCAAGGGAACGACATTTGCTCCAAATATCCCGGCCTTCCAAGGACGCCTCAATGAATGCTACAACTCGGTCTCGTGGATGCGGATGTCGGATTCAGATGTTCTTGGAATTTCTTCGTTTTTTTTTGGCAGATGGATGAGAACGGAAGAAACTTGAGACATGTTTAATATATTTTAATATTGTTTAATATTGAAACATGTTGACAGATGTTGCATGTTACAGGAAGTGGGAGGGAACTGTGGCGGGGTGGGCAAGGTCCAGGAGTTAAGCTGTAGACTTTGGCGGCCTGTCCGACGAGGTGCCGTTTCTTCTAGCGTGAAATGCACAAACCAAATCAAGCCGAATCAAAATCATCAAACCATTGGACCGTGTGCGCACCAAACTGCCAAACACTATCGATGTGCAATTTGTTCTAATCGGCGATGGTCAGGGTCCAATGCACTTTGGTGACCAGCGCCCCCAGGGCACCTCCAACTGTTGCATCAAGCTCGAAGATGCAGCTTGCCCCCTGAAGCGCATCAAACATGGTGCCAAAAGGTGCCAAAAGGTGCCAAAAGGTGCCAAACATGACCAAACATTGCAAATTGATGCAAATTGTACAAACATTCAAATGCTACAAACATTGCAAACATTTGCCAACCAATGCGCCATGTGCCTAGCAAAGTTGCCCTCCACTTGCAGTCGAAGTTTCTCTGCAAGCCTTGGATCGAAGAGTTGGGCATTTCAGGCATCTCGCCAAATCTCAAGTACTGCCAAGTGTCAGGATGTCTCGTCATATCTAGGGATCAAGCTGGCCGGGCCAACCTGCGCAGAGCAGAATTACATAGAATTACAATGAATTACACTATTCGCGATGAGAAACAGCCGAAAAACAATAAAAAACAAACGACTGGCCTTGCACCCCAGCCAAGGGGCCGGAAGTCAGCTCAGTATTGTCCTTCAAGCCGCATTTGTAAGTTGTCAAGTCGAAGATGCTTCGGTCATTTCATATCATCTTCATTCATCTTGTCAAAGGCGAGCGATTTCACTCACCCACTTGGTAAATCCTCACAGCTCTCCATGATTTCCATTAAGCGCAAGCGCCCTAGTGACTTGATTGTAAATTCATTTCGTTCCGTGACTGCCTCGGTGGTGCCCCGCATTTCTGCCAGCTCCTTGCCATCAGCCACCTCCATTTGATCCGTTCTCATCTGTTTCATTTTTCCTACCTGATCTTTTGATTTTGGCATGTTTGTGTCACAGTTCGTGTCAGTCTTCTCGATCCTCTCCTCGCTGTGAGTTTTTCTCATGGTTCCACTTCGAAACGCGGCCCTTGCCTCTTCTCTGGCCATGCGATCCAATTCAACCTCCATCTCTTTGGCTTCCTTCTCAAAGCGCGGCTTCTTGGGAATGCGCTGTGCTTCTCGCTCGGCCTTCATAAGATCAGGCAACCGAAGTAGGTGTAGAACTGGACGTGGTGCCCGGGAAGTAAAGTTCCTACATAAATCGTCATCTGATGACTGGTCGCTGGATTGAGCGATGACAGAGGCATGACGAATAAGACCTTCATCTCCATTTGCGAACCGAACAGCCATGCAATATTCTCCAGCCTCATCTTTTCCGGCATTCTTCTCTAGGACAATGGCACTTGCATCCTGACCATCCGGACCAGGCACCATGATATGGTCACCAGTTTCAGGACCACGGGGCAGCAAAGCAAAGTCCGGGTGAAAGGGTACGACTTTGATACCCAGCGACTCTGCCAACGCAAAGCCACTATCAAGATGCCATGTGTAAAAAGAATGGAAATATCGAAAATCGCGATTCCACGCCTTCACATTCGGACACACGAGCAAAGTGGTTTTTGCCATGCCCTTTGTTTGGTTAGTCTGGCCAGCTTGGCTTTGCGGCAGGAATTCCGCCCAAAGACCCCTAGCTTCCTGTATCAAGTCCTCAAAAACTTCCCGAGAAGTTGTGGACTTGCTGGTCACCACTCTGATACCATCAGCTTCATCTGCTGGAGATGCCCAGGGACAGAAGCCCAAACCAATCACCACATCATCAAGCCACTTCCGAACTGGTGCCGAATGCCGGTTCTTTCCTGGAACCACAGCGGACCGTGCGGACCTGAGCCGTGAGGTGGTCCTTGATCTCGTTGCGAAAGCTAAAGCTCCGACCAATCCGACAGATCCGACAGCTGTGTAATCACAACTATAACAGTTGTAACTGTTAGCTGTTGGGATGAGAGATCGACAGGGGCCAGTGCGGCCAGTGCTGCACTTGCTCCGTTTGTTAGGTGCCAGTGCTCCTTGCAGTGCTCCTTGCAGTCCCTTCAGTCCCTTCAGTCCCGGTGCTCCTGGCTCCGAAGTTTGTGACCAGCTGCACTTCGAAAGCGGCAACATAGCGCAAGAGTTTCCATCAAGAATTGAATGTCTAACAGATTCTAACAGAATCCAAGCTTTGAGCCAAACGATTCGGAACGCAACTATAGAAATCCACTCCTGAGAATACCTTCCACCCAGATTCTCTCAAATGTCGAATGTTGGGAATGCCATGCATGTGCATTCAACAGAAAAGTCTGGTGGATCCTACTTTCAGGGTCATTGTTGGTCAAGTTTTTTGTAACCTGGTGCTTTCTGCCACCAGAACCTCAGGAACAAAAAAATACGAATAGCAAATCATAGCAACGTATTTCGTCGTGGAAAGTTGCAGCTGCCACTCGTACTTGACATTACTTGACGTGAAAAAGGTTCAAGAAGACACGGTTCCGGCCCTGGGAAGTTTGCCATGGTGTCCTCTCACGACCTTTGACCCTGTATCGCTCACATGCATTTTATTTATAGATGATTATGCCATATGATGTAATATGCTAAAAGCAAGTACAAGCTATGTCACAACTGGTACAGCAGAAAAATACATAAAATACGGCAAAGCTGCGCTAGTGGCGCAGCACAAAATGACTTTCCACCTTGGGTCCGGATCTTTCGACAGCCCGTTCTCCTCTGCCCAGCTGTCTCCAAAGATAAGGAGTGGCCTCAAAACTGGATCCAAAATGCTGAACCGAAGGCTTCGGTCGGTCATGTCCAAATGTCATGTGGTAACTCTGGTGCCTGTCAGGTGGTACAGCATGTGATGACTGTCTGAATGATTCCAAACATTTCCAAACGGTGTATCATAGCTCTGCGCGTGTGCGCTGGAAGTGCCCGCTTCAGATGAAGCGGTGATTGAATCGGCAAAACCTTGGAAATCAAAACCACACAGTGCTGGCCGAATAAAGCTGCGCAGAGAGATTTCAGTGGATTCTATAAAGAGTCATCATCCTGAATGCGTTTTCTAGATGCTTCATGATGTTTCTAGAGTTTATTCTGCTCTACATTGAACAATATGGAACAACATTTGCATGAAAGCACATCATAGGATCATCATAGGTGTACACATCGACCGTGTAAGCGGACAAGAGATGTCAAGAGCACGGACAGGTCTCTGGCATCGGGCTCATGCGATGAATTGGCACCCATGGCCCGACAATGGACTAAGATCGAAGACGATCTTGGAGGGGAGAAACAGAAGAATGAAACATGATGAAACATGATGAAACAGTGAGAGTTGTTTCAGTTCTGATTTCCAACGGGAGTTTTTCTCCAAATGTTGTTTTTCTGTCCGACCCGCCCCTTCAGCCAAAAAAGGGCAAACACGACCGACAATGAGCCTTGCTCTGGACATCTGTGGAAAACTGCAGCTGTTTGATTTCATCCGGCACTAAGCGCGAGAGAGATCAAGAACCATATAAAGTTTATTACATAATAAATCAATGTATATAAATCATAATGAAGACACAACATGGCAAGAGCTCTTCCAAGAGCTCTTCCAGTGCAGGAAGTCCTGCTGGTATTGCCTTTCGTTACTTTTTGTCTTCCACCAGCGATACTCCGTGCTGAAAGGGAAGCTAGGGACAGTGCTCTCAATCCCTGCACGAATACAAGTCGAAATACAAGCACCACAAGATGGCACAAGCAACGCTGAAGTACCACATGTGCATTTTGCACTGCAACGGATATAACAAGATATAACAAGGGCACAGTGCGAGGTATTGTCTGGTTTTATCTGGTTCATGCCACGCTGCTCTTATCCCGTCTTGACCTCTCGAAGTTCGATAGCAGGCAGCACGTCTGCAGTCAACAACTTGCTTGCCTTGCGAAATCCAAAGCAGTGTCAACCGCCTGGACAATCAATCTTACCAACCGAATCCTTTCAAGAGCTTTCTATTTTGGTTTTCCATCTTCTTAAGTGTCACACAGCATCATTGCTTTGCTGGCTGATCGCCTTAGGTGCTCATGAAGTTGGCACAAAGCAGGAGCAAAAAGCCGCAAAGTATTGTGTGTGATAGAGACAAAGACTCGAAGGCAACTTCGCCGGCCCGTGCAGACATAGCAAGTTCATGCAAGTACACTGATCTACACTGTAATACACTGTACATTTGGCACAGATTGGCACCGTATAGTGGTGTCATGTGGTGTCAGTTTTCTTCCAAGTCCAGAGTCAGCATGGGGTCCGCAGTTGTACCTTTCCCTGGCTGGACCTAGCACCTGTTCAGCTCTTTCCACCTGACCTTCACAAAAGTTTTAGCACAAGCACACGCTCGGTACATGTTTTACATGTTTGGCCAATGTCTGGAACGCAAGAATATGAAAGATATTCTGCAGGCGTTTGATGAGCACTGCAAGAAGTAGCTCGTTAGGTTTTGAGGGGAACAGGCCCCCTGACCTTCCTTTGGGATTACATCTGAGAGGCATAGAAAGAATCATATCTCGATCTGGTTCCACTTCTAGTTCCACATATTCCATGCTACAGTAAAGGCTGCAGTGCATACAGTGCGTAGCCGCGCAACCACTGCAACGGTCTGCCATATCTAAAATTGCGACCCTATGCGCCATTAGGGTGCCGTGTGTTATGTGGATGAATGGGCTGAAACAGGTAAGAGAAGGTAGAGTCTCGGTCAGAATGGGTGAGAGCCTCAACACAAAACAGAAAGGAATCAGAAAGAAATCGAAATGAGGCCGAAGAGTCCATTGATGAATCCATAGTAATTAATGAATCAGCATGAATCAGTTGTGTATCAGTAAGTTCTATGGATCCATCAATAATGATCCATCTTCACATTGTTTACGCCGTTTCAGGTCGTTTCACTTCGTTTCAAGTTGTTTCAGTTGCGGCTGAGGCTCGTAGAGCACGTCTCGGGCAGTGCTTGGCACCGGCAGCGCGCTCAAGCGGCTCAAGCATCTACGAAGGTCTGATGACACGCAGCAGTTGTTTCCGTTGCTTCCTATCGGAAGCTTGTGACCTCTCAGGCGCATGACTCTGACATAGCAAGTACATAGAATGCACTGAATGCACAGATTTTTCATCTATGTTCATCTATGTTCATCTACAGATTACAATATATTACAATTACAGTACGCCATCACGCAAGCCCCAAACTGCGGTCAGAAATCCACCATGAATTGATCTAAACTGAAGTACCGGCAGGCCTTCACGAGCAAACTCCAAAGCTTTCAAAAGAAGGGGGTTCGACCTGTGTTCATGGTGCTTGATACCAGGAAAATGCATGCACAAAGAAAGAAAAAAACCGACATCATCTGTCACGAAAGCAAAGGCATTCATCTGGGCCTTTCCTCTTGAAAGCCTCGGATGTTCTAGACTGGAGAGAGCGCGCGAGAGAGAGAGAGGGGGCAGGGAACATCCATCAAATGATTTCATTAGTCCAGTTCAGAACATTTCCCCGATGCGTAAATATGCGTAATATATATATATATATACACATCTGTATGACTTTCATGAACTGTGGTGCCAAGATGTGTCAAATATCCAGAAAAATCGCGACTTTCTCTCAGTATCCCGGATCCCTTGGCTTAGGCAATAAAAGCCGTGCAGCGCAAACCTTCGAGAAGAGCAAGGAGATGTTGCCAGTGCTTGCCTCTGCCACGGCCAAATGTGATGTCCATGGTCCATTGGTCCATGACTTTGAAGTTGCACCACAAAATTCAACCCTGTCGAGCATTTTCAAGCGGTTGAACATAAGGTCAAAACGGTGATCGTATGTGACTAAGGATCAAAAGACGATCAAAAGCATCTCTACCAAACTTATACCATACTTCTGAACGAAGCAGCATGACTATCCATGACTCGGGCAATATCGGATATCAGAATGTCCCAGTCTGATGAAATGGCCACGAGGTGCTCAAATCTTTAGCCACCAACCTTTAGCCAATGCGCTCGCAGCAATCCCATAACTCCTCAAAACAGAGTGTGGAATCCAACCAGAACAACCAGAACAATAGCAGTGGCACGAAGTAGAGCAGGGAGCCGAGGTCTAGTACTTCCTGCTCCACTTTTGGTACATTTTAATACTACAATTCAAATCTAATTCCAGCTGGATCCGATGTAAATGGATGTAAATGGTATAATCTTACTTCGATGGAAAAACTTTCACAAACGGAAGAGTGTTCCGGCACGTTCCGGCCCCGCAATTGTTCCCATTTTTCCGGAGTGTTTCGGATTGTGGTGCGAAGCAATTGGACTGGGAGATGACCTTCGTGCTGGGGCGATGGCAACATGTCTGAAATCCGCTCCCTGGTTGATGTGGCCATCCTTAGCAAACGCAGGCAGCGCAGAGCGTGCTGTTTAAAAGCTGCCTTCAACATCTTCAACTCCAACTTCAAAAGGCCAAAAATGGATCCAATATGATCCAATATGATCCAATATGATCCAAGGATCTATAAGATCTACAAGTGGATGGCATGAATATGTTTGAATGTGTATGAATGCCAGTGTCGCGGGCATCATGCTAGGATACCTGCAATTCAATCACAAGCTCCCACTGTTCACCTCAACTGGGACAAAAAGCTGATGTCAACGCATCGTGCGGCCGAGCATTAAAAAGTATGAGGATGTTGTTTGCGCGTGGCCTAAGAGTCTAACATCGTGTCTTTGATCCCACTTGATTTCCCCTTTCTTCCCTTTCCAGCTGTGACTCATTCTTTTAATATTCCTTTCGCATCATTGCAACTGCGACTCTTCTGAGCTCCAAGCTGGTCGCGCACGCTTTCAAGACCCCGTTGTATAGAGCTCGGCTGTCCGTGCCAAGCACTCTGACAGCCACGTTTAGGACATGTAAAGCTTGATGCCAGTGGTTTGCACCTCATGGTTGAACAGCTTGAAGCCCTTGGGGAGCAGTGCAGTGCTAAACAAATCGAACAGAATCTAACCATATCTAACCAATACTCTGCATTTGTCTGATTCGTTCCGGCACATTTTTTTTCGATACGTTGCTGAATGCGTCTGGTGAAACTCAAAAATTGCGCGGGACTGTCTCGGTGAGCCACCCTAACAAGTGAGCTTTGGAAACGATCAAGGCACGACCAGAGGGGCATTTCACGGCATTTCCTACCCATCAGACGTGCTTTCTTCACGCTTTGGGCTGAGACTGACCCAGTCCAGAGCCAAAATAAGCTGTCGGCGCTGAATTCAAAGACCAAAAGGAGCTTGCAATTTTTGATCAAAAGGTTTCACAAACTTTTCACAAACTCCGCAGACCTGTCTCAGCCGCAGCGACTTTCTGCCCTGTCTCATCGATGCACAAAGAAAAATCCTCCCCACGTTTGGCCATCTCCGGAAGAGCGTCCTACCAGGGGTCTCCCTGTTGTGATGCTACGACTAACCGGCATCCAGGAGAAAAAGAGATCTATAGATATCTATAATATATATATGTCTGTGTGTGCGCATGCGTATCCACACATGCATACAATCGGTCTGTTTGATTCTATTTGTATATTATATAAATGTAAATATGAATAAATAAAAATAAATAAATAAATAAAATAAATAAATAAATTTAAACAAACAAATAAACAAATAAATAAATAAATAGAATATATATATATATATAGAATGTGTGCGATCTTGTATATAATTCTATACTATCTATACTATACTATACTATACTATACTATACTATGCTATGCTATACTATACTATACTATACTATATGAATCTAGCAATATTGTACATACCAGATCACACGAGTACAGCATAGTACAGCTATATAATATGCAAACGTGTGTATAGGTTGATGTCGGCTGTATCTGTCATGGCCTGCTTCCATTCGTTGTGGGTTTGGTTTGCTTTGATTCTAGCCCTGAGAACTGAGCTGGCAGTCATTGCATAGACGGCGTTTGGCAATCAATCAAAACGCATCCCAAAATGATTAAGCAACTTATATCAACTTATCATTGTCAACACAACAGCCTTATACAGCCTTGTAGCTGTAGGAAACACTATGTCACTATGTTGCGAGGACCCACAGAACAGTCATGCAGTCCTTGATGATATTCAGCTCCATTTGCAGCTGCTCTATGGTTGGATCCTGTAGCATCTTCAGTGTCTTACAGCAGCTACGAGAATCTTCTCCCATGTGAGCCCACAAAAGTTCAGTAATTGCTGTTCGTTCTGTCACTGAATCTCCGATCGAAAGGACGTTTTTCCAGGGGTTTTTGCCGTAGAGCTTTTTCAAGACTTTCATCGCCAATTCTTTTGCCATGGTTAATGGGCAAACTCCTTCTTCAAAGGCGCCGTCAGGACTTCTCATCATGTAGGGCTTGACACACTCACGAGAGTAAATCACTGGAATGCGTAACTCCTTCAGAAGGGCTTCTATGCCCAATTTTGGCAAATACTCGCTGGCAGAGTTTGCTACCCATGGTCGTCTTGATAGCGTAACAATCGCAACTTGTCCACAGGACTTCGCCAGAGTAAGCAATTCCCTGACAGTGTCACTGATTTTGTCCAATGACGCGCGCAGGGCATCATCCATTGGCAGGACATCCTCCACAGTCTGCACCACATGCCAAGTTGGGAAGAGAGTGTCATCCCAATCGAAAATGATGGCGGTTTCACTGGGTGTGAATGGTTTTTGGTGCCTCGCGAGCTGGCTTGGCTGGCTTGGCCTCAGACTGGAAACCAAGGAGATCAAAGAGCTTGTTGGCAAATCCAAAGGGGCCGGTGCCAGCGATGCCACTGGAACTTTCACTTTTGGACTCTTTGTCTTGAGGTGAACGGGAGTCTGTGGCAGGATCCCTGTAAGGACTTCCAAACTGTGAAGCAAATGGAAGAGGTTTGCTCGTTGTCTCACCTGGAAACGAATAGATGATCCGGTCCTCCTCATCTGAACTTTCGTCGAGGACACTGCTTCGTCGGCTGCCGGGGGAGCCCCCAGGAGATCCTCCGCCATATCCTCCATCAGGTTTCACCGGTGGAGCCAAGTGAGGCAACCTCGATGATGCCTGCGAAGTCATGGTGCTACAAACGGCCACGTGGAAGTGTCACGAACGGCCTGAATGGAACACCTTTGGAAGCTTGGGCCATGAATTGGGCCGTGAATTCAAGATGGATTCAGGATGACTTCCAAGGCACCAGCTGGCACAGTGCTGCCACAGCTAGTGCCATGAAGCAAAATAATCACTTCAAGTTCTCACAAAACCATCAAGAAAAAAATAAACATCAAGAAACTAAATGAGATCTTGATGACTTTGGAATGCTTTCGATAGATCTTTCAACTATCCCCATGAGACCACAGATCTTGTTCCAAGACGTGGACGCTCGAATGCGGAAAGTAGCGTGCCGTAGCTGGCTGCGTCTGCCCGCAGTGTGCACTGAAAATTCTCAAAAGATATCACATGATATCACGATGCTCAGCGATGCGAAGGCTGCCAGGACTGGAGCACACAATTATCATCCCGTGCAGCTGCAAGGTGCAGCAGGCCTGCTCTTTAGCTTTTCATTGTTTGCAACAATGAGCAACTCGTGTACTCACGTTTACTCATTACATATAAATACATACCAGTAGTACCGCACAAGGCGGTGGCGGAAGTTTCAAAAATAGGAAACCTATAGGAGAGCTTGGTTGTTGTGAATCCGGGATGGCAGAGTGAAGCCACTGATGGACTGAAAGGTGCTTGATCTCTCTCACTCTTTCTCTCTCTTTCTCTGACTATCTACCTACCTACCTATCTATTTTCTATGTATCTATCTATCTATCGATCTTTCTAGTGTAGTGTAATGTAGTGTAGTGTAATTTAGTGTAGCGGTGTGTAGTTGTAGTGTTGTGGAGTGTACTGTAGTGTAATGTACTGTAGTGTGTGGAGTGTATAGTGTAGTGTAATGTAGTGTAGTGTAGTGTAGTGGAGTGTATAGTGTAGTGTAATGTAGTGTAGTGTAGTGTAGTGGAGTGTATAGTGTAGTGTAATGTAGTGTAGTGTAGTGTAGTGGAGCGTATAGTGTAGTGTAATGTAGTGTAGTGTAGTGGAGTGTAATGTGGCGTAGTGTATTGTAATTTAATGTAGTGGAGTGTAGTGGAGTGTAGTTGTGTAGTTCTGTAGTTGTAGTTGTAGTGTTGTGGAGTGTAGTGTAGTCTAATGTACTGTAGTGTAGTGGAGTGTATAGTGTAGTGTAATGACCCGAAGCGAAGCGAAGCGACATCTGAACCGCCAAAAGTGGTCCGAACCCCTAGTGCTTTGTGCATTTTGATTTCGACATGTGCTTCGCGCCGCAACGGCGTGCGCTTTTTCAACATCCGAACCTCCAAAAGTGGCGCGAACATGTGGTGTTTTGTACATTTTGACTTCGAAATGTGCTTCGCGCCACAACGGCGTGCACTTTTTCGACATCTCAACTTCCAAAAGTGGTCTGAAGCTGGTGTGTTTTGCGCATTTTGACTTGGAAATGTGCTTCGCGCCACAACGGCGTGCACTTTTTCGACATCTCAACTTCCAAAAGTGGTCCGAAGCTGGTGTGTTTTGTGCATTTTGACTTGGAAATGTGCTTCGCGCCACAACGGCGTGCACTTTTTCGACATCTCAACTTCCAAAAGTGGTCCGAGCATGGTGTGCTTTGTACATTTTGACTTGGAAATGTGCTTCGCGCCACAACGGCGTGCACTTTTTCGACATCTCAACTTCCAAAAGTGGTCCAACAATGGTGTGCTTTGTACATTTTCACTTGGAAATGTGCTTCGCGCCACAACGGCGTGCACTTTTTCGACATCGCAACTTCCAAAAGTGGTCCGACGCTGAGGTGTTTTGTACATTTTGACTTCGAAATGTGCTTCGCGCCACAGCGGCGTGCAAATTTTCATCTCTGATCTGGCCAGCTGGCTCCGCACCCGCCGCTTTGGCGAGCCTACTTTTCGACCCTCCGGAGCCGCAAATCATTGGCAAAACAAAGTGTTTCGCGACTTTCCTACCTTTTCGCGCATCTGCATCTTCTTTCTTCTGACTCTTTCTCTTCTGATCTTCTCTCTTCTAATCTTTCTCTTCTCTCTGCCTCTGCCCTGCTCTGCTTTTAATCTGTCCATATTGTCGGAAGTTTGACTTCTAAACTTCCTTCGATAAGTATAGAATTTCCAACCATTATGTGTATATAAAATTATAATGTATGTATATATTGAATACCTTTGGTATCCTTTGGTTACCTTTATAGTATCATTGATATACAGTATACATGTTTGTCTATTTCAACAGCAGTCCTTCCACGGCTGCCTCGAGATGAAACTGCAACATGTCTTTGTACAGAAAAAGTGCCCGCTGCCAGTGTTGAGACTTTTCGCACCTCGCAAAGGTACTCCAGTTGAACACTGGCAAAAGAACAGGAAGATGCTAAAAACAAAACACCTGAGAATAAAGATGATAAAGACGTCACTTCATCCAATCTTTCTTATTTTCCTCAACCTTTTCGCGCAGGTTTTGAGCAAATTATAGCGAATTGGCAGCATCGGTGTCAATATGTGACAAATTGTGTCAATCTTGACATTAGTCTGTGTAGTCCGTGTAGTCCATAACAGCCATAACAAAGTGTTGAGTTTGCGCACGCAGTCATAAGGGTGTTGAACGTTGCCGACGTTGGACGAAGCGTTGCTTTGCACATCTCCTGGCCAGCTGGGAACCAAAACTCGAGAACTGGAGAAGAACCGTGGCTGTGGCTGGCTGTGGCTCCGGCTCAAGACACTCACATTCTGACAAACAACTTCTGGCATCTTCTGGCATCTACAGCAAGACCTGGTATTGCCATGGCCGAAAAATGACTTCCCAGGACTTCTCAGGGCGCCTTCAGACATGCCACTGCATTCTGCCAAGAGTGCGACGACGCATATGCACCAGCTGTGATATTGAAGCTTATGACCTCAACATCTCAACACAATATGGAGAACTATAGAGCTGAGGCCCAGTGTCAGAAGAAGTAAGGATTATGTTTCTGCTCCGATCTACTGCGCAATATGTGTAAATGCAAGCCCAGTCAATATGGGCTCCTTGCGTCCAAGGACGCTTCAGATAGAACCCCATCAAGCTCGGCAAGACGCTGAGCCTTGGCATGGAATTCATCCGAAGCATCAAACAGTGCTGTGCGCATGGATGGGACATGATGGGGTCAGACAACATGTGACAATGAATGACCAGGATGGGACATGATTGGAGCTGATGGGTCCCAGTCCGGTCCTGGAAGAGGTCGAGCGCAGCATCCCAACCTTTGCCCAACTGCAAAAGAAAGCGGTTGTCAAAGTCATGGGCGCCATCCTGGCGATGATAAAGCTAAGCACAGATGCTCTGAATAATCTAGCATGAATTAAACTATCTAAACTATCTAAACTATCTAAACTAATGGCTCCTAAGTTGGTAAATTTCATGCTGTCTGGAGTGGTAGGCGCAGAGATCGTTGAGAATGGTGCGGGCAGCATTCCGGCAAGCTGTCATTGTGCTGTTCAGAGAGGTCAAATCACCTGCTGCCGCGACCCATGGCACACCCACGCAGACTTTCTGATGCAAATTGAGAAGGAAAACGAAAGCTGGGACCCAAACCCTTCAGACGCCAGTCAGAACTGCTTGAAAAGACTCGAAGAGCCTTCCAATGGCACATCGCCAAACCCCTTTTAAACCACCCCTGAGCTTTCTTGCCGTGATTTCATCTTTCATCATGGCATATCTTCGCGGTCTTCCTGGATCTTTCTAGTCCAGCTTGTGGAAAGTCTTTGAGCTGCAGAATGTCTCAGCAGGTCTTGGCCACAGCATGCTACAGCTCCTTTTTAATCCATCACCTGCCATCCCTTCAGGATTGCTGGAAGCTGCTGGAATCACAAGTGAGACAAGGCAATAGGACCTATACAGGACCAATAGGCAACATACGAGGCAACATGTCGAGAAGATCCAGCTCAATATTTTGCAGCCCCTGCTGCTCGCACTCAGAAAGCAGCAAGCTCTGGCTCATTGCGTGAGGCTCGACTCGATCTCGGTCCATTCGAAGACCCAGGGACAAGGCCAACCGCCACCCACGACCGTGGCAGCATCCATCCAGTGATGCCGCATAGCCAGCAACGCCGGGTTCGACTCCTTTCCAACTAAATAGGCAAACAGCATCAAAATCAAAATCCATTAAACAGCACGATTGAGATGTGTGAAGATGTGTGAAGTGTGCTTTTTGATTTATTGGGATTGCATTTCTCTGGCGCTCGCAAGTTTGTCTGAATCAGTGCCATTCTGTCCTGCACCTGCACACAATTGGAGCAAATCCAAAGATTTTGCCCAAAAGAGACCCTGGCCTAAGTATGCAGAGATATGAAGAGATACCGGGAAATGCCAAGATGAAAGCGCAGTTCTTCAGTGTGTAAGAGCGATAGCAATGATGGCTGTGATAAGTCTGGAGCCTGCAGCGCCCAGTGCTGAATTGTATGTCCTCGCCCCAGGCAGATTCGGCAAAGAAAATCATCGAAACAATCAACACGTAGCATACAATTTGCGGCACCAAATTTGTTGAAGCCACGGAATTTGTCATAAGGTTGGCACAGTGGATCGCATTCCAATGCATCACTTTGAGCAGCTCGCATCAAACAGAATGCCTGGCTTCTTCCACATTTGCAGGACAGTGACAAGCCAAAAACGAAAGCAAGTCTGAAGGGAAAATGTCAAACCTGCCAACCCGAGCAAGCAGTGCTACAAACCACCGGCCAGTAGTTGCACAGGCGCTGACAGCAGAATTCAAGCCTCAAAGTGGGGTTCCATTATGTGCTTCCACCGAGTTTTGCAGTGAAAGTTTTCGATATGTTTGGACCATGTTTCATCATGTTTCGACACAATTCAATCACAACATCGCACGACTTATCCAGGCTTGCATTTGTCCATTTGTCTATCCTTGGAGTCAGACTGAAAGTGTCTAGTTTCACGCCTTCAAGGTCTGCGTGAGTGTAGAGCTGCACGGCTGCCTTCAATTCAAAGAGCATAGAAACCCCCAACACTGGAATTTGCTTCCAACTTGCTACCGTGGTAGATCATCCTGGACCTAGTGTGTTTTTCATCCCTGTTCAACATCTTCTTGATTCACGTGACATGCAAATAGAATTTCATCGGAAAGTCTGCATGTCAACATCTGCCAGGTTTCACGTTCAAAGTCCCAGGGTAACCCTGCAGCTATATGCAGCTGCCTCCCAGGTTGCATTCGTATCACCATGAGAATCGTAAGAATCGTAAGAGAAAGCGTTGATCGCCGGGTTGACGGTCACGACGGTGGTCCGAAGCTTGGACGGCAGCCCTTCGAAACATGCCAGCGATCTTTGCCACGATCTGCCCAGCGCCTCAAACTCCGAAACAACAAGAAACCGAAGGAACAAAACATGAAACAAGAGATTTGCAAGCTATACATAAGACTCATAAGACAATACATCAAAGTTATTCAATCTGGAGATGCGCAGAAAGTTTTGAGATTTGAAAAAATAATAGTAGAAGAAATTTCCCATGTCTCGCCATGATGTGTTTGTATGGGTTGATTTGCTCTTGAGAGAGAATGAAAGCCAACGTAAGCCCACTCATTCCACCAATCCCACCTATTCCACCCATTCTATGCTGTCATGTCCTGTCCATCTCAGCCGCTCACATGACCTGCGATCACTGCAGCTGCCCCTGTGCTTGCTAGAAGCGATCCTGAGTCCATCGCCTTAGCTGCAGTTTGGATAAACTGCACGGCACCTTCAACCCTAAACTTCAACATCTTCAATTTCTGTGTAGAAATATGTAGAATGATTCTGGTGTACAACTTAATTGTGTGATCAATTGGTGACACCATTTGTACCAATTTGTGCATACTATTGTACTATTCCAACGTGTTGTTAAGAAGTCGTTTGGTTAAAACATGTTAAAACATGTTCTGAAATATGTATGTTATATATATATGCGCGTGTGTGTGTGAACCATCCGAAGAGATGTAAAACTTCTACTTGTTTTTTTTCTCGAATCTAGTTAGTTAAAAGATGTTACAGGACTCTTATAATTTGTCCATGCAGGGGTTGGATGCATGGTCTGGCAGTCATCCACCAACGAAGACACTGCTTTTCGATGGTGATATGAAGAAGGGACGCCTTTGTCACGTATCTGCTACCGATTTCATGTACACTTCAATTTCGGAAATGGGCAGTGGCTAACCCAAGAACCACCATGCCGTTTTCAAACAACTTGATTTTACTTCTCGCAATTTTGCATGGCTTTCGCAATCTGTCAGGTTGGGAGCTGGGAGCGATATGGCTTCGTTGAAAGGGAAGGGTCAGCTTCCGATTCAATCTTTTTTGGACTGGCTATGGTGATGGCAGCTTTCAATTTTTTTCAGGTCCTTTCAGTGACCTACTCCTGTCAGGTTAAAGGGATTGCTTTTGCACGTAAGATGCATTCCACAACAAAATTCGCAATGACAGTTCCGAGCAAGCGCGTGCGTGCGTTGCAATATAAGGTTATTTCATGTTATTTCCTAGGGTCCATGTGAATTCTGGTTTGGTGAGGGCCCATCAAACTCCAATATGTTCAATAAGGGTGGGCTTAAACAGGGGGCGAGGGGCAAGATCAGCAAGTTGCAACGCAACTTCCCAGCAACGGGCTCGCAAACATACTGAAAGCACCACTCCCAAGGCAACAGCATCTACCTCCACTTCAGTGCTGCGCATTTCCCTCAGCAAAGTCAAAGACCATTCCCAGCCACCTTCGAGTCCTTGCCCAAAGGCATCATTGGCAGACCCCATTGCAGCTGTGTAGATCTCCTTTGTTTTCTCCACCTTCAAATTCTCCATGGTCTTCAACATTTGCTGGGTGAACGAGTGCTGCTGTCCCCGCGCACATGCCTTGATGGCTGCCAAGAAACTCAAATTGTCTTTGCGCGCAGCCGCAGGGGCTGTCTCCACAAAGGCAATCACTGCCTCTCCAAATTGCAAGAATTATATAGAGATGAAACATACTGAACCAAATCACCAAACAAGATCAACTAATTGCGAAGATATGAAGTGATATCTTGATGTGTGTTCTGCAGCTCTAAGTGCTAACACAAGATGCAGAAGCAAGTGATCTGTTTTCTCAGCATGCGTAGCATGTCGTTAGGCTCAAAAGGGCCCTCTGTGATTCACAGAGGGCATATCACGTCGGAAAAGCCAAAACAGGCCGGCGAGGTATGGCATTGGTGTCCTGCTGCGGCATATAGATTGGCCTAGCACAGGGTGATTACATTCTAAGTTTGTGGCACAAACGCGCACCGGTAGAAAGGATGAAAAATCACCATGGTCCAGGCTTTCAAGTTCTTGAATTCTTTCATCACGTTCGCCCAACTGTTGTTCAAGCATTTGGATTCGGCAATTCAGCAGTCTGATTGTTTGATCACAACCGCCATCTGTTTGAGTTGATACATCTTCCAGCACAGCTCCCTGCTTCCACAAAAAGGCCGGCAAAGGTCTTTGTCATGGACCATGACATTCTTTGAAAGAAGTGCACCAGTAAAGGTCTCTGCAAGGACCTTGTCATTCTGTATAAGCACTGCCCATCGTCGCTGCAAACATGGCAATAAAGGTGAAGATGAAAATGATGTTGAAGGATGAAAGACCATCATCGGAAAAATCATCCCCTCGAACTGGCCCAAGTTGATTCCACAGCACCGCAAAACCAAGGCTTCCCTTGTGCACCAAACGACCAATAGCATTGCGTCTGGCTGAGGCTTGACGCTCTGCCAATGTCTTCCTCTTTGCAGCTTGAAAACTTTGGTCTGAGTGCAGGGAGAAGGCATGGGACCGAAGACGGTCGGCCAACAGCTGTCATGCTGCGATCTTTGTAGAACCATCTGCCAGTTGGGTTTCTGATGAAATTCATTTCAATCTTGTTTTCATCTCATCCACTTTCTGTTTCACCACCATGACCTCAATCTTCGATCTTCGGTCGCCTTGCATCTGTGGAACTTCTGCCTTCAGGCTGTCATAGAGAGCCTTCGCATCGACCACCAGGGCGGATTGCATGAAAATGCCTTCAACATCCAAATGGCGAAGTTCAAAGCCAGGGGTCACGCATCCATGCCAGGAGATCAAAAGATATTCAAGAGCATCCATTGCACCAGCGCATGCTTGTGCTTCGGACTTGCGGCTGCTGCGACTGATTCTGGGGAGCTTGTAGCTTCTCCAATCCAGAACAACGTAGGGTTGATCCAGTTGTCCCTGCAAGGCTTTCACACTCTTCAGCAAAACAAAGTAGCCGCCTTGGGGCTCATGGTTTCTTCGAACACCCCAGGCCGCATCACTCAGGGCCATCATGCATAGCTCATGTAGTTGGCCTAGGTCAGAAAACTGGAGTCCAACGTCATTATTATTGGCTTTGGCAAATTTCAGCAGCTTGTTTACCTGGGTGGCTGTGGAAACCGTTGCGGAACCCACTTCTCCGCACAAAAGGCTCACACTTGCACTCAGGTGTAGTGATGTTTTGGTGGCTGGCCATTGTAAGTGTCCAAGGAGTCCTCGAAGCACGGTCACCTCCTTGGTGTTGAGCTGTCGCTCTTCATCATCATCAGCCACAGTCAGTGGCTTGACTTTCTGAAGACATTCTTTCTGATGTAGCAGCCATCCGCCATCAATGGAGTCTAACCTGCACCCACAAAATTCCAAGTGAGCACCAGCTTTCGCTTCAGACCAATGCTTGAAATTGAAGCTTTCATGGAGGGCTTGCTTGGCCATAGCTACACTTCATCGGATTCAAGTCCGCCGCCGATGAGGTCATGAATGCCGATCATTGAAACCAGTTGATCACCATGAAAAAGACAAATAAAGACATTGATCAAGTGGATGTGGTTGGTACCCTGCAGAAATCAATCTTCTACGGGCAACTTGGAACCATTTCTCGGAGCATCTGCTTGCCCATAGGCTTGCGAAGTCGCATAAGGGTACCGGCGGGTACACCTATCAGCTGGCAAGCATCTTTTGGAATCCGGGCCTGCAAAATTCTTTTCTGTGGATCACCCTGCAGGAAGGCTGTCGCCACATCAAAAATGAAAAGAAACCAGGATTTGCAAGTTGCAATGGCCAAGAGGATCTGCCGTGAAGATCGGCTCAAGGCTGGAGATGAGGTGTCGAGTTCTCCTCGAAGAAGGTTTGAGTCAGAGAATCCTTGAAGAACCAAACGCGCCTTCGCACGCGGGTTGCCGTTGTTGTCGGCAGACCATTTCAGCACAAACCGTGCCTTCATCACTCGGTTCCAGTCGACCTTCTCAGGGTGAAGCTCAATCTCCCACACCTGATTTTCAAAAATTGAGGCCAATTCTGCTTTCTTGCCCTCGATAATGCCAAGCGATCTTCAAGACTCATTCGGCTATCCTTCAGGTCAGCTGAGTCCTTGACGTTCTTCTTCTTGGGCGAAGCTTGGGCAGACCAAATGTGGCCACGGCTTCGGATGGTTTTGTTGTTGAACTTCTTGGTCAAGTCGCCAACATAGGTTGTGCCAAACTTTGCAGCAGCATCTTTGGTCAGTGGGTAAAGAGTCTTTCCGAACCATGGTTCGTCACCCGCAGGGGCAGGCTGCTCCTCGTTGACCAGAATGATGCGGCTGTTTTGCCTCATAGTCAGGCCATTGGTGGTCTGGAGCTTGTCGGCTGGCAAGGGAAAATCGGAAGCATGAAAAGTGCAATCCCTTGACCAAACATGGTTTCTAACCAAAAATCCATCTTCGAAGCTCCAAAATCTGCTGTGGACCCAAGGTAGATCTCATGGGTTTTCGGATTATAATCATGCCATCCGGCCAGAAGGTTGGTTGAGCCGTCACAGCCATTTGGAAAAAGCTCCGCAGCGATGTTGACCGATTCATGGTGTCTGGCACGCTTCGGCTTGCCAGGGCTTTCAGGATCAGGATGATCATGCACCAGTGGCCACAAGGGAGTTCGCAACCAAGATGTTTCTTGCCGTTCTTGTTGCCCTCGGCGTTCAGCAAAGGACAGTCCAGGAAGATTGGGACTAGGAGATTGGACATCATGAATTGGAGGTTGGGTAATGGTGTTGTTTGCCGCAATTGTCGGCTGCTCACTTTCATCGTCATCATCATCAGGAGTTGGGCCGGACATCTTGTGGAAGAGGTTCAGGTGCAAGCCCAGAACTTGCCTCTCCGCTGGAAGGTGCTGCTTCGGCATTTTGTGAAGATCGTGGCTCTGTGGAGTCGCGCAATTCCAAGTCCAAGCGCTTTGACTCCTCCGGTAGGTCCACACCGGGATCCGTTGGCAAGTCCAAGCCAGAAGACGGATCAGCCGCAGGAAGAGGAGGATCTTCAGCAGGATTTTTGGGCAAATCATCCAAGGGTTCAGTTGGCTCAAAGGAAAGTGATCGCACTGATTGCACACCTTGGTCTGGATGAGGACAAGTCTTGGCCTTCTTTGGTGATGGCTCATCAGGTGGTCTGTCAGAGATCTCACCCTCAAGTTCCTCCAAGGTGTGCTTGTTGATGCGCCGCAAATCGGCAGTTCGAACAACTCGCTGTTGACGAAGACCTTAAAGGCTTGTTCAGCACGTTGAGCTCCATTGACAAGGCCATCTTGTCCAACAAGTCTTCGGACATGTTGTCGCCCGGCACGGATGAGGACAGTGCCATGGGCGAGCCAGTAGGCGTCAATGGTGCCAGTGTCTGGGTCTTGTTGGACAGTTGCAGGGCCTTTCCACTGAACCGTGTGGAATCTGTTGCCAGCTTCTCGCCAATAAAGGCATCGTTCACCTGGCTGTAGATCTTCATCAGCACCTGAAAAGCGTCGGAGAAGAGCACATCGAAGTTTGACGTCAATCTCAGCCACAGCGCGGGCATGGTGGGCACTGGCTTTGAGTTCAAGGCGCCGTCGTAGTCGATCTTGTTCAGCTTGTTGAAGTTGAATTGGGCCAGTGCGCTCATCAGAGATGAGACCAGGCATGTTGGGCTGTTTCCCAAGAGCTTGCAAGCTGCATGGGTGTGCATCTATTCACGAAGGTGGATACATTCAATGCGGGCACTGTCCAATTGAGGGCCGCATGAAGTCCATCAAGGCCTCGATATCCATTCTCAGTCATGAAGATGGAGAGTGCTTTGCAAAGGAGTTGGTGTCTTCGCTACACAATTGACGTTCGTGAATGGCTTCGCCCAGGAGAGATCTTCATCTCGATGTCGTGGTCACCAGACCATTGGATCATGGCATCACTGCCCCATCCTGACAATTCATCAACGCTGAGTTGCTTCGGACGGCCAAAGTAGCGAATCCATTCACGTTCAACTGCTTTCATGAGAGAGTTGCTGGATTCATCAGGAATGGTTCGCAAAGCCATGAAGCGAGTTGCAGAATCAACCATAACCAGCATGCCAATCTTCCGCTTGGAGGACTTGTCAGAAGGGGCATCAGGCTCAACTGAGCTCAAATCAAACCACAACGTGTCGGTCTGGAGCTGCTCGTTAAAGTCCATGGGACCCTCTGCATGAGCTGGAGCTGATTGCTTTCGTGAAGAAAACTTGTTGCAGTATGGGCACTCAAGGGCTTCAGCTGCAGCAATGACCTTCGGGTCTGCTCTTGGCCTGCAGCATGCGGACCAACGTGCCCTTCCGAGGATGCCCAAGATTTCGATGGAGGCGGTAGGCAATGCGCACCGCTTCAGGGCCATGCTTTGTGCCAAGTTTTCGAAGAACTCCAGTCAGCTCTTGAGCTTCAGCGTCTTGTTGAACAGCATAGGCCTGTTCTGACAGTCCTTCATCTTCAAGAAGGGCACGAGCAAGATTCCATGCCAGCTCAGACTGGTAATTCTCGGCCTTCTTACTTGCAGCGGCTTCCGACCTTCAAGTCGGGCATGTTGGTGGTTGCCAGAGCATCGCTTGGACATGATGCGACACATCGCGCGCTTGGTGGTCTGAATGGAGGCGGGTTTCATGATTGGAACTTCAGCATCATCAACTGTGGTAGTGGAGCCGTGTTCGCATTGATCAAATGTAGCGCGTTCACCTGGCAAATTGGCAAAAGCAGGAGTGTCCCAGGCAGCACTTCGATGAGGATGTTCAATGTGAGCATGGGCTCCATGCTTCACCTGACACCAGTAAAGCTTCTTGCAAAAATTCAAGTGGATCTCATGGTCGAAGTCTCGACAGTTCATCCCAGTCAGCTTCACAGCGACCGTTGATGGCCTGCATGGGAGACCAAAGTGTGCACTTTGGAGACATGTAGATCAATTCCATCAGGCGCTTTCGATAAGCCAGTTTGGAGAAATCTCAGCCATTGTTGGGTCCAAACCGCATCGTATCGGCACCAAGGCGTTCAGCTTGCTCGCCCACAAGTCCAGTGCCGCTGTAGACTTCCCAAATGAGCTTCTTGCGGGGATGAGGTTGGCATCGAGCTTCATAGGCAAGTTGGGCTGCCTTCTTTCAAGTTTCCACCAATTGACCCTGAATCCATGACCAAGTCTTCGACATTGAGCACTGAGAGCCTTCAGTCAGCTCATGGGCATGGAAGTGCTCATCAGGAACCTGCTTATCCACATTCACATAGGTCTCAGCATCGACGAACTCATATTCAGAAACATCGTCGGCGAATTGGACCTCGGTGATCATTTCCTCATAGCGCTCAACCGCACGTAGATGTTGCAGAAAATCTTGCAGAGAGCAGGCATCATCGTGATCATCATGCTTGGCTCTGAGATCGAACTGCGGATTCTCGAAGTCTTCAATGGAGTTGAAGGCTGAGGCAAGTCGCAACAGCATAGCATCTTGCTTGCCCCTTTCGATCTCAGTCCACTGGCCACCAAGGATGCGCATCTTGCCACTTCCCAAAGTCTACCACAGCGCCAAGTTGTTCAAGAACGGGACGTCCAAGCAACATTGGAGTGGACCCGAACACGATGAAGCACTGTGCATTCGACCTGAAGTGTTGGCGAAGTGCACAGGCAACTCAACCATCCAGTGGGCATGACCATCTGCATCGCCGCCAAATCGAAAAGATTTGCCGCGCTTCTTGAAGGAAATTGTGTCTGGGATAGCCCTGAACTTCCAGCCACTTCAGATATCGCAAGATGTACTCACTGCCAGAAAGAAATGATGAAGCACTTTGGTCTTGAATGCACATGTCGGGCTCCTTGGTCACCCATCCACCAGCACGCACCACAGACTCACCTTGCATGTATAGTCTCTTCAACCACACGAAGCTCATCAGAAGGTGCTTGAAAGACCATGTTCACCATCAGGTCAAGGTCGATGGGACGCTTCTTTGCAGGAGAAGAGGTGCCGGAGTGCTTTTGCAGTTCGCAGCTTTGCGGCCAGTCTTGCCAAATCTCAAACAAACTAGATCCCCTGCTATGGCTCTTCCTCTAGCTTTGATACCTTCCCCCTTTGATTTGGTGGATATGGTGACTGCTTGGATCCCTTCTTACTCTGGCCTTTTGACTTTGATGTACCCCCGCTTGGAGACATGCCAGAACCCTTGCCATCCACAATGGCCACAACTGGTTAGAAGCCACGGCTTTGACGCAGCTGAGCAAGACGACTCCTCTTATCGGCATATTCTGAGTAGATCGCGTCGAACTCCTCCACATCGAAGAGCGACTTATCATCGGCTGCAGCTTCACTGGGGTTCCTTTCAGAGGCAGTGGGGGACCAGTCAACTTTGAGAGACAGAGTAAGTTTCATCCCATTCGTCATCGCATTCATAGTATTGATCATCATCATTCTCATAATATGTTTCCATTTGTGTTTCATGCCAATCATCTGGACCATCATATTGTTCGTCATCTTCAGCATGGTGCACATTGGAACCACCCTTTCCCTTTGGGAATGACTTTCCACGGTGACTTTGATGATTGGATTGTTTGAAGTCTTGACCAAAAACCAGAGAAAGGCTCTGCTCCACGTTTCCCAGCGTCAACGTTTTGCCAACCTGAGACCTGAGACTGAACTAGATGCTGTTGGTCCTTGGTCAAAACAGCTCGGCGCAACATGAGCCATCCGGTGATTTCCTCCGGAAGATCCGCCTTCAGTCTCTGAACATCACGCAAGGCTTGGTGAAAATCGGTGACGTACTCATGGAGAGATTGGTTGGGCTTTCGCTGAACCTTGAAGAAGAAGGTGTCAAATATGGATCCCAGCTCACCCTTTCATCATAATTACTTCAATTTTGGATCCAAACGTCTCAATCAACAACACATCCAGGCCATTCTCAGCTTCTAGGTCTTTGAGGTCTATGTCTCCACATTGCATCCAGCTAGACCCTTCCAGTACTGCCAGAACATTCATGGCAACCTCTTTTGAACGACCTTGAAGCTCAAGCCTACGTGCATACAGTTGGACCCGCTTTCGCCACTCCTTGTAGCCGCTGATGGTGTTGTCAAACCGGGGCACAAAGGAGTCTTTCACATATATGGAGACGATTCAGTTCGAGAGGTAAGAGATGAAGCACCAGCGCCACTGCCAGTCGCTCGTCTCGCAGGCGATGTCGACAGGCCCCGCTACCGATGCGAAGATATGAAGTCATATCTTGTTGTGTGTTCTGCCGCTCTAAGTGCAAACACAAGATGCAAAAGCAAGTGATCTGTTTTCTCAGCATGCGTAGCATGTCGTTAGGCTCAAAAGGGCCCTCGTGATTCACAGAGGGCACGCCACGTCGGAAAAGCCAAAACAGGCCGGCGAGGTATGGCATTGATGTTCCGAAATGTCATTAGTGTTCTGCTGCAGCATATAGATTGGCCTAGCACATGGTGATTGCATTCGAAGTTTGTGGCACAAACTCACACTAATATCCAGGGCTGTCTGTCATGGACACCCTGTGCATCTTTGCAATTCTTGTAAACCATTGCACGGTCGCCGTGAGATTCTCAACTTGATTGGACAAGGTGTCTTATCCGTCTGGTTTTTGTTCTCAAGGAGTGTAGTTTTCCTCTTGCAGCTCAGCTTGGATAGAGCCGGGCTCCCTGCGTCATTTCCCTAGTCGCTCCTTTCTTGGTGGTATTGTCTGGCAAAGATGGACCTTGTGCATGCACTGGGGGATATCGGTGGCTATGGCATGGCTATGCCATGGCTATGGCATGGCTATGGATGCTGTGGGCTATGGGGATCTATGGGGTACGGACCCACTCCTTTTAGAAATGTGAAAGTCTTGGATAAAAAAATCCTAGTTATTCACTTCATGTTCCACTCTACGACTCTCCGCTGCACTTTGAACTTTTCGTCCCCTCTGCAGCCTGACTCCAGCTAGCTGCAGCAGCGCATGCCCCAAGGACAGAACGATGCAAAGAGAGGGAGACCTGGAACATGTTCAGAACATATTTGGAACATACTGCTACAATGAGGGCAATCCAACCTTCGGTGATACACTTCATCGATCAATATCTCCCCGCAAATGACTTCAATGCATACTGCATCTGCATCTTTCTATGCGCACTGCCATTTGATGCCACTTGAATCGTTGGTAATCGTTGGTCTAGTGTTATCATATGTTATCATGGTATATCATGGCTTATATACTATATATGTGTATATAGTGTTACTATGTATTTTGACTAAGTATATATATATATATAATTATATATACACGTGATTGAACCCCTGGAACTAGAACTGCAGCATTTGTCTCCTTGTCTCCTTTGTCCACTTTGTCCGCTTCCGCTTTGCCCAGATCGAAGCTGCACAGGTACAGCGCCTTTGTCCATAAATCCGAGCCTGGGTTGGTCGCAGCTTCTGCAGAAGCAGCAGCAGACTTCAGCATGGAAAGCTGTGAGTCGCCGCGCAAGCTTTGTCTGATCATGTCATGTGTAAGCTGCAAAGCGCCCTGCCAGGGAATAACGTGAAATGTCGAGAACGTAATCCTATCTGGCAACATGCCATGTCTTTGCAAAGCTGAGAAGTGGTTCACTGCTTGTTGCCATCCAGAACTTGCACCACTTCCACCGACCATCGCATTGAAAGCCACGATGTCCAGCTTCACTTCTGCTTTGACCGCAGATTGCAAGAGCTCCAATGACCAATGCCAGTTTGACTCTTGAGACTTTTCATGCTTTTGAGTCCACTGAGTCCACTTTGGAGTGTTTTGAGAATTTTGTATCTTTCGCGGCGATGTGACACCAGAGCTGCTCCGCAGGCCGCCGCACACTGCTGCCGCGGCGTTCACTGCACTCAGCAGTCGCCTGCCAGTCGAGGTGGTGGAGGTATCGGCTATAGCCAAAAGGTGCAGCCCGTTGCACCAGTCCAAACCTGCGATGCAGGCCTCAGAAAACATGAAGTGAAACCAGCATTGTAGAAAAATATGGAGCAATAATGAGCAAACGTATATGATCGTATATGTATACATTGAAATCAAGCATCATAGAGCATCGTGAAGTCTTGGCGACTTTTTGTTGCACATCTCTGCTGAAGGTACGGGCAAGAACCAAGTGTGATTATGTGATAGTAATAATATGTGATATTGAATGATATTGAGATATATTGAGACCCGCTGGCTAGCGTGACTAGTGCTCTTCATGATGCTGAACGACCACGTCAAAGACTCCTAAGGCCCAAACACTGTATGTGATGCTGTCTGTAAAGCTTTTGGAAAATGCTTCGTGAAACCTGGGCTCTACCATCTCCCGTTATCTCCCATCAACATCAAGCGATTTTGAGTGGTTTCGAGCTCAGTCACTGAAAAGACTCCAAAGATCTCCAAAGCACAACATGAGGACAACCGGAGAACCCTACCCTCGGTGATCAGTGAACTATCTCAGACGCCAACAGCTGGAGCGCAAAAGGCCAATGTCTCTTGAGGCCCCCAATGGCAGAGTTGAAACTTACTCCATCCTGCAAGCACCGAAAGACAATCTGTAGTTGCACATGCGGTGATTGCAGCTGTGATTGGTGCAAGGTCGCCATTAGACATGTTCATTTTCAAGTGCTTCATTTCAAGCGTTCGTCCTTTCTCTAGGTCCAAGTTTCCTATATCTATCAAGCTGTCATCGCTGTCTCCTCAAAGCATGCCAAATGTGCTAAAAGGTCCAGGCCTGCTGAAGATCTACAACTCTGAAACGGTGCAACCTTGTGTTTCATGGTTTCAGGTGGCTTCAGCGTTTCATTCCTGGACTTCATTCCATGACTTTGTTTCTCAAGCTGGTCAGGGTATAGGTATAGTCTTTCTTTTCTTTCCTTCTCTTTTTTTCTCCTTCTTTTGGCAGACCACCGAAGAGCTCAGCTGGCACTGAGGGGACGGCAAAAATAAGCACTTTCGCCATTGGCCGTTTCGACTGGCAACAGCGATGTCGTGGTTTGCCCGCACCACCTAGCAGGTCTTTAGAATCCAGAAACAATATCTATAGAAACATCAGATTTGCCGCTACGTCTTGAAGTCTTTCAGCATGGAATCACAAAATGAAAAAGGCGTCCAATAAAAACTAAAACAACACAAACCCGCAAAGCAGTGAAGATCAATGAAGCTGCGTACACAAGCATGTCAAGAACAAAGGTTGATCATACTTGCCTCTGGTTTCCACCCATGGCTGGCAAGGCAAGCATTGCTGGAACTCTGTGCCCATCGCCCACTACACATGCAAGAGCATGTGGAGCAAGGCTGCCAATTGTTTGACTCACTTGAAACATCTTGAGAACAAATAATAAAGAATAGCAATGCTTCCATTTGTGTCACAGATCTAGACAAAGATGGAACATCATGGAACCATATGGGCAACCAACTTGGTGCTGAGCACATTCTTCGAAAACCGGTGGCCAGGAAAAAAGTTAGCAATCCGACCTAGCTTGGACCAGTTTTTGCATCAATTTTGACCCACTTCCATCTAAATAGAGCAGCTTAAGTGACAAAACGGGTTCGATTAGAGAGACTCATGGATAGGTTGGCAGATAGGCAGAGAGTCAGATTGAAAATTTGATATGTGGGCAGGGAGACCGACATTGCTTTATCATGTTAGAGATTTTTATAGTTTATGATATGATACAGGTTTAGACGGGAGCAAGAATTGGATGAACATCCAGATGCCGATATATCACGGGACAGTGGAAGACACAATAGCATGCTGAAATACTAATTATACTGTATATGGGTGCAGATGGAGACAAAAGACCAATGGACACACAGCAAGCACGGAAGGTATGAACATATTTGTTAGATGAAAAAGATTGAAAAAGGGATAGACAGAAATGGATGGAACAGATTTAATAGGTCAGATATGTTTGTACTGGCAGGATGGATGGATGGGAGGGGGAACCAAGCAATAACTGTTATCAACAAGTTGGGAAGTAGCTCAAGCAGCTTAGGTTGATCGGTAAAAGCACTTGCTTCCACGGAGGCCTGCACGCATGTTTGTATATAAAATCACACGAGTGCAGGTTCCTCATGATTGGGAAAATAATCTCCTAGCAAGGGAACATCAGTTGAGGTATGCGGTCCAGCATTGACAAAGGCAACAAGGTTATATAAAGCATGTCTCCGTATGTCTCCGCTACTTTCTTGATATGTACTCACATAAACTGATCCAAAACAGCTCATAGTGTCTCAAGATGTGCATGTCAGGCTTAAGAGTCTAGTCTAGATCTCCGCCATGTTGGTCATGTATGGTCAAATTGGTTGATTGGAAAAAAAACACATTTTCCCAAGGATGTCCCGCACATGTGAGAACATGTGAGAACGCCTTGAGCCGATTCGAGCAAACAGTTTCCCTGCTTTCCCTTTAATCATTCTGTCACAGAGTCGGTGCCCTGCAGCCTTTGCCCAGTTCGCGGCAACAGCACAAGCAGAAAGGATGGAATTGAGGCTGACTACCTCAAACTCATGAAGGAAGCAGTGCACCGGCCCGCTCTTACACACACACACACACCAAACAAAAAAACAACTGCAACACTTGTTGCCAGTGCTTGTCGTTTTAAGATGTAGCAAGATAATACGAGATGTTGCAAGATGTTGCAAGCAGTTACTACTTAGTTCTTTGGTCTCCGCCGTTTCCGACGCAGCATCGTCGCACATGTCCAGCAAATCGCCACGATGAGATCCGCACTGACGGCTGCAAGCGTTTCGAGGCTGAGGCCTCAAGCACCAGAACTGCCTGCGGCGTAACACCCACATTCCCCAACCAACTTGGGCAGGGGCAGGACCAAACAGGGGTCGTAAATTTTCATAACATGTCATAGTCAGGAGAGCAAATCATCACAGCCTACTTTGCAATACTTTGCAATACTTTGCAATACTTTGCAACACTTTGCAACACTTTGCAACACTTTGCAATTCATTCTCATGTGGGAATGCCCCAAGAGTCCTAAATGTCTCACTATTGTGTCTTTGCATTGATCGAGTTTCGAAACGGATGCGCATCGGCGTAGCTCCAACATGTTGTTGCCTTTTGCCAATCTCCTCCAAATGCTGTCATGACACTGTTGTACACAACCTCAGGGTGGGCACCCACTGGATGAAACATGCCAACACAAACTTGACAACGGATGTATAATGCTAAGACTGAGAAGGGAGCAATGGAGACAGCATCGGAATCCTCACAGCTTATGTTGACTCTTGATATCTCTTGATTCTCATTGATAACTCCATGAATGGCAAAAATATCCAATGATGATGCAACGATGAATCCAGCCTCTGCTCGTCTGAGCAAGTCCAAAGCAATCCTGTCAGGCTATGTCAGGCTTGCACTGGGGTCTTGGGGCCACATGTGCCTTCAGGCGACATCCTTCAAGAAATTAAGTCAATACGCAAGGCATCGTAAGGATACGTAAAGGCACTCATGATATCATGGCACCATCAATTCATGATCAAATTGGCCTCCAGTGTCGTTCGGCAGCTACTGATGCCACAATTTCCTGCTGCAAGTACTCACGCCCAAATGATCCAAACGAAACCACGATGATGCCACGATGAACCAAAACACGGCATAACGCGCGCAACATCGCGCAACAGATAATGCATTTCCTGCAGACTGAGGCGAGCACACTCCACCTAGCATTTCACCGGACGTATCTGTGTGTTATATTCCAATGTGAAAATATGTGATACTATGTGGAAGTGCCTGCGCAAACAAACAAAAGACTTAGCAACCCACACGACCATGTTCGGTTGAATGTGCAAATTCTTCATCTCGTCCAACTTCTTGGGAGGCATGTGCGAAGCATTCCAGCTCCTATATTCTAGTTCCTGTTTGATCTGGTTTGGAGCGGCTGAGGTGGCAGCCGACAATGAAAGCGTCCACCTGGAAAACTGAAAAGCTCGCGCCTTTCGATGTCTACATCTAATCTTCCACTGTTGAATTTCTTGTGACGACTGTCTTCCCTGCTTGTCTGCAAAAACGCTCTGGAACAAAGGATGTTCAGTTTCGAAGCGACTTTGAACTAGGGCACATGGATCCCTTTGCGCAGGCCAGCAATTCGGCACCGAAAGACTTCACCTGCGACCATCACGACGGCGCAAACCCGCTTGCCCAAAAAACTGCTCCTCCCGAAACCCAAAAAAATTGAAAAGTAACACAACACAACGATACATAAGCAAATCTCCAGCCCGGCATCAAGCAGGTGCCAAGAAGAGGTCTTTCGGAGTGATTTCGCCAATTGCAATGCCTGGCATCTTGGCGTCAAAAACTAACTGATCAAAGAAAACAACTGGAAATACTTTACCTCTTGCACTGTCGATCAATAGGCAAAGAGGCCTGGCGCCATTCTCCAGCCCGGGATAGGCGAGAAACATGATAAGTGTACCTGAACTTTGAAACTGTCCAGCACCGTGCAGAAATACGATTTGAAAACTGCATGATCTGCACGCTAAAAACAGGAGACAATAGCTTGCAAAGGCTGCCACTGCTTGGGTGTCCGCAAAAAGGAGGTGCAAAGTGCCTCAGGAGGCTGGATGACTTGGGGGTCGACCGTGTGTGTTTGTGTGTCTAGTGTGTGCGAGCGTGTGGGCATGTGTGTCAGGAGGAAGTCTGAGTGCGAAACTGATTTCATGCACAATGCCCTGCATGGCTTGACAAATTGACAAACAAACTGGCAAATTTCAACAGCTTAGTATCTTCTTGAATGCGTCTGCAAATGCAGGTGCAAAAGCACCCGCCTGATGCCACATGGCCGCGCACCAATGGAATCAAAAGCATTGCTTGAGAACAAAATTAAGAAACAATGAGAATTAAATGGTTGCACAACCTCGTTTCAGCTTCATCGAGCTGCATATAACCCGTCACACGAAAGCAACAACTTTCCGACACTTTTGCGTCCGGATGTCAACAAACGTTTAATGCACATGGTTGTTTTGTAAAGACGCACCAAACATTTAGAAACTTAACATGTTTGGATATATACGATATGGTTTCTTCTGCGCACAAATGATTTGGAAATGTGGATCCCCTATGGTCCCCTGATGTCCCTTGTCAGTTTTTGCGACCGACAAATAGTGTCCGTTTGCATATTGAGACCATTTCATCCTCCTCAGTGGTTACGGAGATTTCCAAAACCAAACCATTAGTATTTTGTTAACCTCTTGCAGTCAACCCGTAGGTGAACAGATCCCTAGTTTCAATATGTTTCAATCTGCAAATTGGACGAGTGACGCCAGGAGTTGGGATCTTGACACAACACATCCTGACATATCCCGACCCGATCTGACCAGCAGAACTTGTTTGCCACTGCGTCATCCAACTGCTGTGAGTGAACTTCTGCCACACCCGTGGCCATTCCAGCGGCTTTTCAGTCTGCAAGTCCTGCGGTTTCAATAGAGGCAATGAAGGTGATGTGTCTTGCGCGCTGCTTTTTAGCGAGATTGGATGATATCTACTTATACCTACTTACAATATATCTACTTATATCATCTTATATCAACTTATACTAGTGCCTCTTGCCATCTTGACCGATTCCTGTGGTCCGTGTCCGTGACTCAACTGGATCTTGCTTGGGGCCGGGCGCGCTTTGTGCGAACATTCCAGGCCCTTCATTGTGTTCCAAGAATTATGTCAAACGCCAGAAGACTGAAAATGAGATTCAAAGCAGGTGTATAGGATACATTGAATGACATTAGTATATATGCGTTAGAATGATTTGGACTGAACGTGTGAGATACGTGCAGCATGTCTAGAGAGTATACATCGGAACTGTACGGAAATGTGCAAGAGGCGTCGAAGAATGAAATGGGAAGGGATAATATGTAGCATGTCCGCCTTTCTTGGAAAAAACCAGAAACTTCCAAAAAACGTTTCTGTGTCATGCTGGCAAGCGGTCCTGGGAATAGCCCAATTCTGTGAAGTCTGATTGGAACATGGTTCGAACGATTTCTTGTGCTTCCGACGTCCACAGCTCCTGCACTGGAGGGGGCGTTTGAGGCATGTAGCCTCTCCCTGTGCTGCCATGTGGTACCACCTTCGGTAAGGATGGCAATGGGCGGCAGTAGCTGAAACTTCGGCACAGAACGTCTTGAAGGTGAAGAAAATCTTTGTCGATCCGTTCCATCCTCATTGGAAAGATACCTGGGTTGTGAATCACCCAAGGGCATAAAGAATTCTCCCGGTGTTTTGTTTGGTTTTTATGCAACATTCCGCTGCAACGTGCGCTTCAGAAGTGCGGCGACATCTTACAATTCCGGAGGTGCTGTATCTTCATATGTATACTTGTTAGTATATGTATGTATACAAAGACGTTCTGAGTGTGAGCACTCGCACGGCTACAAACATATGTCAGCTTGCAAAACAATATAAAAGTATCTTTGATATGATATGTATACTTGTGAGTATATGCATGTCTACAGAGAGGTTCTAAGTGTGAGCGCTCGCAAGAGCACAGACATATGTGAGTTCGCACAACACGGAGTCATACACAAAAGTACAGTATCTGTAATATCAAATATGTATACTTGTGAGCATATGTATGTATACAAAGAGGTTCCAAGTGTGAGCACTCGCAAACGCACAGACATTTGTGAGTTCATGTATACAAAGAGGTTCTAAGTGTGAGCACTCGCAAGGGCACAGACATTTGTGAGTTCGCACAACATGGGCTCATATACAAATCAATCTGTGATGTGATTTGTGTATTCTTGTAAGTACACGCATGTATACAAAGAGGTTCTAAGTGTGAGCACTCGCAAGGGCACAGACATATGTGAGTTCACACAACACGGAGTCATATACAAGAGTATCTGTAGTATGAAATATGTCTACTTGTGAGCATATGTGTGAATACGAAGAGGTTCCAAGTGTGAGCACCTGCAAGGGCACAACCATTTGTGAGTTTGCACAACATCGGTTCATATACAGGAGTCTGTATGATATAATATAAGTATGTTTGTGAGTATATGCATGTATACAAAGAAAAAGTGCGAGCACTCGAAATGGCAAAAAAAAATGTGAGTTCGCACAGCATGGGTTCGTATACAAAACTATCCATGATATATAGATATATGTATACTAATACTTGCCAATATATGTGTACAAAGAGGTTCTAACTGTGAGCACTCGCAAAGGCACAAACAAGTGTGAGAGTGCACAACACGGGTTGATATACCAACGTATCCGCGATATGATTCTTGATATATGTATACTTGTTAGTATATGTATGTATACAAAGACGATCAAAGACGTTCTAGGTGTGAGCACTCGCAAGGCTACAAACATATGTCAGCTTGCACAACATGGGCTTATATACAAAAGTATCTGTGATGGAATATGTATACTTGTGAGCACATGTATGTATGCAAAGAGGTTCTAAGTGCGAGCACTGGCAAGGGCACAGACAGATGTGAGTTCGCACAACATGGGTTCACATATAAAAGTATCTTTGATATGATATATGTATACTTGTGAGTATATGCATGTATACAGAGAGGTTCTAACTGTGAGCACTCGCAATGGCACGTGCAAGTGTGAGATTGCACAGCACGGGTTGGTATACAAAGGTATCTGTGATGTAATATATGTATATTTGTGACATATGTATGTATGCAAAGAGGTTCTAAGTGTGAACACTCGCAAGGGCACAGACATATGTTGGTTCGCACAACACGGGGTCATACACAAAAGTATCTGCAATATGAAATATATACATATATATAAATATATATGTGTATGTATATACTTGTGAGTAGATGCATGTGTGTAAGGAGGTTCTACCTTGCAAGGGCACAAACATATGTGAGTTCGCAGAACATAGTTTCATATACAAAAGTATCTATGACATGATATGTGTTTTCTCGTCAATGTATGTACGTATAGAAACAGGGCTTCAAAGTGTGAGCACTTGCCAGGGAAGAGGCATATGTGAGTTTGCAGAACATGGGCTCATATACAAAGGTATCTGTGATATGATCTATGTATGCTTGTGAGTATATGCGTGTATACAAAGAGGTTCTAAGTGTGAGCACTCGCAAGGGCACAGACATATGTGAGTTCGCACAACAGGGAGTCATATATAAAAGTTTTTGTAATATGAAATATGTGCACCTGTGAATATATATATGTATACAAAGAGGTTCTAAGTGTGAGCACTCGCAAGGTCACACACATATGTAGGTTTGCACAACATCGGTTCGTATACAAATGAATCTATGATATGATATATGTACACTTCTGGAAATGTCGATGTATACAAAAAGGTTCAAAGTGTGAGCACTCGCAAGGGCACAAACATATGTGAGTTTGCACGGCATGGGTTTATGTTATATACTTGTGTGTGCTTCAAAGTGTGCACTGGCAAGGCAGAGACATATGTGATTTCGCACAACTTGAGTTCATATACAAAAGTATCTGTCATACGCTATACGTATACTTGTGGATGAATGTATATATATATATACAAAGAGGTTCTAAGTGTGCGGGTTCGCGAGGGCAGAGACATATGTGAGTTTGCACAACATCGGTTCATATACAAGAGTAGCGATGATATTATACATGTATACTTGTGAATATATGTATTCATACAAGAGGTTCTAAGTGTGAGTGTGTACGAGGGCAGGAGCATATGCGGTATATGAAATGTTGCATAGAAATGCTATATATTTGGGTTCTAACTGTCGTTAATTTTAGAGCTTCTAACTCATATGAGTAAGAACCCGGCCAGATGTATAAATCTCGTTTTTTCCAAGAAAGGTTCTAACTTTGTGTCCGTCAGTATGGTTGAATTTAAATGGATATTGTTATATATAGTTTCATCGTTGGATCTGGAATCCATGACCAAACAAACAAACCTCGAAGTTCGTTTGTTGGACGAGCCGTCTCTCTGAATGGGTCACAGGGGGAAAAAAGAAAAACAACAATGAAAACAGTTGCAGGTACGCGTGCGCATGGCATTTCGCGCCTCGTTGGTCCAGTGAGGGTCCTGCATGATGTCGTCAAAGGACAGGGTGTGAACCAAATCCAGCCGGTCCAGAGGCTTTACAAACGTTTTCTCCCAGAAACTCGGCCTCTCTGACCTCAAGAAACAAGCTGCTGACGCGGAAAAGAAAGGACCTCCCACCCAGCCAGTGTGCCCAGGCACGACAATTTCTAGAAAGAAAATGTGTTTGAGATCCTTGGATGGGAAGTGAATCAAGTGTCTAGGCGCTCGGTATCCAATATCGTAGCCACAAAACTGCCCACATCCACCCAGGCTCTCTCTCTCTCTCTCCACTTTTTTTTGTACGTATACGTGCGTGTACGCACGTACCCACCATGGATGCAGGATGCATGTATATATATATATGTATATATAATATTAAATATTACTATTTATTATATATATATTATCATATATATATATGACTTACAATTGCCGTTGGTTCCAGTATCCTCCTCAAGACCTCCCCCAATCCCAGCGGAGACACGGGGCCCTAACGTGCGGGATCTTGTGAGCAGCAAGTCTACGCAAGAATTCTGGAAATTCATTCCTGGGCGTCAAGCGCTGCCAAGCTTGACAAAGCAGTTGACAATGCACTTGTGGTTAACATTTTGCCGGGTGCAAAAAGAACAATAACTGCTGTCTAGTTGGAGCTTGAAATAACCCTGTTCCAACCCATTTCATTATGAAGTTGACTGTCCTGTCTTCTGCATTAGGGCAGCACGCTTGGCTTTTACGTCGGGATGGCAAAAGTTCATCCTGGGCCAAAGCCATGTCCCCCGGCGAGGCGGGTTCGCTGCAAAGTCCTCCCATCCTTCCATGACCCTCTGGCGGATTTCGCAGTGCCCTCTTAGAGGCAGATGTCCTTTTATGATCGTCCTTGTGAGATCTTGTGGAGAAGTGAGTTAAATACTGTAAGAGGTCCTTGCATGAAGATCTTGAATGCGCTATGTATTGTATAGGGGCGCTCGTATGAAACCTCTTTTGGGGTGCTCTTGCCGGAGGCTCTTGTATAAAGTCTTGCAAGGTCCTTCTTTGACAGTCTTGCGAAATCCTGTTAGGGGTCCTGGCGTTCTCTTCAACACTGTTTGGGGGGCCTCTTGCAGGGAATGGTACAGAGAACTTGTGAATTTCTGCACACGGTCCTTGTGGAATCTCGTATAGAACTGTTGCGGGTTCCTCGAAATGGTTTTTGCATAGAAATCTTGCAAGTTCCAGGAAGGGGATGTTTTTTCACCAAACAAGATCCCCATAAGATCTCTTAGCAAGATCTCTGTATACGCTCTGATTCTGTATGAGATGTCTTGTTTTTGCGCGAGCCTGCGCGGTCGAAATAAACATGAACATGTCGCAAGCGCCATTTTGTGTGGAAATCTACATGAAAAGTGCCAGACGCTAATCCCGCGACACCATTTTTGCGCGAGCCTGCACAGTTGAAATGCACATGGACTTTTCACAAGAGCAATTTTGTATGGAAACTTACAGGAAAAATGGCCGCGGACACCTCGGGACATCGTTTTGTGCGAGCCTGCGCAGTCGAAATGCACATGGACATGTCACAAGAGCCATTCTGTATGGAAATTTACAGGGAATTGGCCGGAAACGGATGGTACCACCTCGATTGAACACTTAACTGTTACCGTAAGAACCCCTCAGTGTGGCCACACTGTTAACGGATCTTGCTAAGCGACCCCTTACAGAGATCTTGCCAAGCAGTATCTTACATAAATCTTGCCAAGAAAGCTTTTATAGACAGAGCTTGTACAGAGATCTCATAGAGAGATCTTGCCGAGATATCTCTTGTAGATATCTTGTCCAGAGGTCTTGCCAAGAGACCTCTGTAAAGAGATCTGGGCAGAGAGAGCTCTTATAGAGATCTTGTACAGAGATCTTGCCAGGGGGCCTCTTATAGAGATCTTGTACAGAGACCTGGTGGAGAGAGCAGCGATCTTGCTCAGAGATCTTTTTTAGGGAGCTTGGCCAGAGACCTTACTTTGAGGTCCCTGGCAGAGATCTTGTGAGGAGATTTCTTATAGAGAGATCTCTGCAATTGTCTTGCCAAGAGACCTCTTATAGAGATCTTGTACAGGGACATTGCACAGAGAGATATTGAAGAGATCTTGCCAAGAGGTCTCTTAAATAGATCTTGCCTAGAGAGCTTTTATAGAGAGCTTGTACAGAGATCTCATAAAGAGATCTTGCGGAGATATCTCTTATAGATCTTTTGTCCAGAGCTCTTGCCAAGAGACCGCTTAAAATGGACCTTTGCCTGCCAAGTGCGCCATGACATTGCCATTGCTCTTGAACGCCTCAACTCCTTGACCAACTTCCTCAGGATCTATGCCGAAGAGCATCCTGCTGTCGCGCACCTGCGGGATCGAGCCTTCAACCTTCTCTTCGGTCCCACAAAACCGGCACCATCCCCGGACACAGAAACGCAACTGCATCACTTGTTCCTCCGGCCTGGCCTTCCCGGCACCCAATGACGACACCGGCAACGCATGGAACCACTGGCAGAAAGCTTGGCAACGCACTGCAGAAAATACTGCAGCACCTGGACGCCGGCAAGCTCGTGGCGGCTGGAGCGCACACATGAAGCAGACCTCTGGCGGCTGCATTTGGGCCAAGTTATTGCTGCAATATGGGCCGCACGAATTGCCGCAGCTTTTGCCTGCACTCATTGCTGCTCGCGATGACCGGTCAGCGCATCAAGCCCCTATCTGGAACGCTGTGCGTGCCCGCTTGGCAGAAGCCCATGCTGCGGACACGACCTGACCCATGTCCGCGGCATCGCGACACGCCAGCCATCGTTTGACCTTCTGCTGCCGCCGCCAGCTGACCAGCAGCTGCCGCGGCATCGCGCGCTGCCACTCACACTGATGCGCCTCTTTGGGAATAAAATACTGCGGCTGCATAGCTCCGTTCCGTGACCGCACCTGAAAGCCCCACTGGATTCATGTGTCCTCTTCTGTTTCTCCTCCCTTGACTTTATCCTGCATGTCCTTAAGCACACTGTTTGGGGTCTCTTGCCGGGAGAATCTTTTGTAGCAAGTGGTTTGGTGCATTCCTGTCCGGTATCTTTGCATCAAGGTCCTGCGGGTTCTGTGGAATGGGTCCGTGCCCAGGATAGCTTGCAGAGATCCTGTCGGGAGGTCCTTGGACGGATCTTGCGGGCCCTGAGGGCCCTTACTTCTATAGAGATCCTTGACTAGGAATATCTTGTCAGGATCCTTGCGGGCACCTCTAAAACTTCCTTGTGAGATCCTTTACATGATGTTTGTAGAAGGATATTTTGCAGAGATCCCTGTATAGGCATCTTGCACATTCCTGGCAAGATCTTTGTCAAGATATCCTTAGATTCTTGGATAAAAATGTGGAGCACAAACCTTTTTGTGTTCGGATATCTTGTGTAAATCCTCTGAGAAGCAGAGGTCCTTGCCCAGAAATCTTTACAGGGTTCCGAACTTGCCTCTTCCCCACTGTTGGGGGCCCATTGCCGATGCATTTCCATGTTTGTTGCTAAGCCCTTTGAATGTACCGAACTTTTCCGCAAAATTTGTCTTTAGCTAAGGGCCCGAACAATATGGAATTGGAACAGCTGCTATCAAAATTTGCTGCCTAGCCTCCACGTGTTGTAAGGAGCCTTTTTACGGTTGGACAACCAGCGATGCCTGAACCAACTTTGTACTCTGCGGAACGGGTTCCGCACAAGCAAAAGCACCAAGCGGCCTTGTGCTGCTTCGCAACATGGCACACACCAAGCTGGGGGCAACAGGATCTTCGACACATGCCAGGCGACCTGGGATTAGTAACCCAAGGAACATCAAGGAACGGCAAAAAGTACAATTGAAATTGAAAACCATTAATTTTGTGCTTATTAATTAATTACTTGTTGGCCTTAAATTGTGAAGTTATTCGAACATAGATCATTTTCTAATTTCTTCACCATGCGCCGCCCCCCATTTCTGATGGAGTACCCCTTTTGGATTCAACACAAAAACAGGTTTTGTCAGCAAACCCGCGCGACCCTGTCGGAAATTCGGAGTTCGAAAAATAATCTCCTCAACAATGCTTTTCCTGAGTCGACACAGGGCCGCTGGAAGCTGGTCGGTGGAAAACGTCCGCCATCGCAACTTTGCAGGCCAAAGAAAGGCAACTGTTGAAAGAACATAAACCTGCATGTTGCATGTACGTTACAAGGTGCTATTATGCCACATCACATTGCAATACGGCACAGCACAACATACGGCACAACATACCAGCCAGCGCAGCCTAGCACAGCACAACACAGCACATAAGAGCATACAAAACATACATCACACACAGAACGTGTGAACATTACCTAAACATATGCAAGTACATGTACATCAACATGAACATGTACATATACATGTATACACATTCATATACACGCCATGTACATCATGCACATATACATAGGCATGTACATAAGAATTTACTACATGCGTATCTACATTTACAGTCACATTTACATACACCTACATATACATAGAAACACACCCGTTTCATTCAAATTTAATTTACCCTCATAAATATAAACCCCTACATTATGCTCATACTTCAAGACAAACAATACCTAGTGCACAATGCGTAATTGTAAATTCACTCTTATCCAAAGTGCGAAATGCGAAAACATAATGCAGACATTGAATTGCATTACATCACATTACCTCACATTACCTTGCGCTACTGCATTCCGAATACCAAGCGCTGCCTCAAAATACATATATTCTTAATTTCACTACACACACTACATGAAGTGACATGACAGTACACTACTTCACATTGTTTGAAACAACTCTCTGGATCACATAACATATGCACTACATACCTACATTACATACATTACATACGTTGCATACATTGCATTACATTGCGTAACATTACATTGCATTTGCATTACGTCACATTAAAAAAACGCTTTCTCTTCGTTACTTTCATACGTGCATACATACATTAAAACACTACATATGTTACCTACGTTACATACATGGCGTGCGTTACATACATTGCCAACATTAGATGCACAGCACACACACATTGCAATACAACACGGCACAACACAGCATAGCACAACACAACGCAACACAACACAATACAAAACATACATCACGCACATGACATACATGACACACGTTACACGCACAACATACATGACATACATTGGATACATTTCATACATATGCACATGCCATACATCCGATTCAGCACATACATACATTAGAATACATTAGAGTCATTAGATATATACATTACTACGTTACATGATATTACAAGGAGGTTATGTTTCACGACAGAATATTCCATTACATAACATTGTTTTACATTACCTTACATGACTTGATGTTAATTTCATTACGTTGCGTTGCATGACATTATATTCATTGCACTAAATGGGCATTACATTGTAAAATTACATTGCATTGCATTACATTTTATGTCATTTCATGCCGTTACTTGCATACATGCATGCATGCATGCATACATACATAGATACATGGGTTTTGATCAAAACTCCTTTATCCGGGAACGGCCATTCTTCGCGAATAAAAACGTTACTTTCGCGAAACTTTCGCGAACTCCATGTTTATCTTTCGCGGGGCCCATGTTGGCCAACAACACCTCTTATGAAGATTCGTTCACCACCTGCCAAATTACGCCAGAGAATCAGGGATCACTTCTTGATAGCCTTTTAAACATGCGGCTAGCATCACGGAATCCCTTCTCAGGGCAGATTGTTGCTGACTAGGTTTTTTTTGGCAAGGTTTACTGACCCACCCCCTTCGACATGCACTTTGATTTTCGCCCGCTCTTTCGCATAACTTTCGCGGAACTTTCGCGAAAATATCCCTATTCACAGACCCCGGCCATCAGCAGGGGGTGCATTGAAGGACAAGCGAGCACCAGGGGCCTTGGTGTTTATCTCTCAAAGCCTCACTTTTGGAAACTTGGCTGCTGCATTTGGAGCTTGTTTCTTGAGATTTCAAAAAGCGTCGTTAGGCAGTGACAGCGGCAGGTGCAAGGATGGGCTTCAGGACCATGGCGTTTGGCTGTCGCGAAGCCTCGCCTTTGGAAGCCCGGCTGCTACCTATGAAGGGTGTGATTGTCCACAAGCACCACCACACAGGGAACTGAACCAGAACCAAACCGAAATTCTCTAGTGCCTTCTCCTGCCGGACCCCGGGCGGCAGTGGGTGGCAGCCCTTTACATAATGATTATAATATCCAACTTTCGCGAAACTTTCGCGAAAAAAAATGTTACTTTCGCGAACTCGAAAAAAAAACTTTCGAACCTTGCACGGCTTTCGCAGTTAAAACTCCTGACAAGGACCTTTTGATCGATCACCACATACATACATACAATGCATACGCTGCATGCATTGCATACACTACACATGCACGCTCGCATGCATGCATACGTGCAAACAAACCTCTGATATTACAGCACCTGGGTGAGCTGCTCCAAATCAGCCTAACACATCTCCATCACACTCTTTTTCAATATATTTGCAGATATTGAATGAAAATCAATTTACCTACCTACCTTCCTACCCACCTACCTGCCTACGCACCTACGCACCTTCGTACCTACTTACCACGCACCTATCTATCTGCCTGTTTGGATATTTATTTATCCATCGATCCATCGATACATTATGTCACTGTATCACACTAGGTTGGCGGCAGCTGGCGGTATGGCAAAAAACAAACAAAATGATCAAAAGGAACTTCGCAAATCTAGGTTGACGTCGCAGTAGGGGCAGTTTGCGGCTTATTCTGGATCCCAGGCCGGCATCACTCCAAAGCCAATGGCTGACTGATTTCCTGCGCTTGGCCCGTGGTTAATTAGGTTTGCCAATCCCATTCATTCAGAATCCAACGATAAATTATTCCGTGGGCTGGTAAGTTCCAGCTGCTTCAATTAAAAATGGGAGTAATCATCATCAGAGTGACGGTAATATAAAGGTTCAGACTTAAGACCACTGGGTGGGCATAGGTTTGGATGATTTTGGTGCGGTGTTAACATCAAACCAACCCGTGCTTGGGTATCCAGGTCCAAGGCCCATATCCATAGCAACCGCAGAAACGCTAGTCAGATGTCGTGCTGGATCTATGCAAACCCGCAAAAAGGGGACAATGACTTTAAGTGGTGAAGTTAGTGATTGGCTAGCAGCAATGGCAAAACATAGCTATGACTCTGACCCTGTGATAAGAAGAAGGCGCCAACTGATAAAATTTCTCGGCAATAATACGCTTGGCAAATCTTAGCCAGTCACCAGGCAGGATTCGTATCTAAATACGCACGTTCGAAGCTGAATGAGCTGAATGCCCAGGACATCTCGTAGGAAACTATGATTTCCCATCGAAAGCTGCGGGTTCCCGTAAATCCTCGTTGAATTGAAACCTGAGAAGGTGGCAAGCCAAAGTTGAAATGGTATTGTAGAAGGGCTGGGCGGCTGGGCGTGACATGTGCTTGCGAAAAATGTCCGTCTTGTTTCGCGTCGAATCTTTGCTGAAGGGTATAACTCAATCACAGCGGTTGGCTCTGCCAAGGCGCGATGATGATTTCCCTTGGCCTTCTAAAGGGCCTCTACACCAGCAAATGGCTAAGTGAACAACAGGCTGGTATAAGATGGTATAAGCACCCTGGCTTGGGGATTGCGAGGGTCACCAAAGGCAATGGCAGAAGCGGAGATGATATGCCACCAGGGCAATGATACCCCCCATAGGCCACGTTGGTGGTGATCAAACATGGCAATGAAAGCGAAATCTCATCTGTTTAATCCTCCCCAACAAAACACAGGAAACGCATCCGCCAAATGGATATGATACATTTTCCCGTCATTCCAGGCTGCATTGCTAAGAGGCTGGTCAATACGGCAGCGTGCCGCTTTCTTGAAAATGGTATGCTCCCATATCACAACAGCATACAACAGCCATAATTGCACCGGGCATCACCGAGCCATTTAGCAAAGTAACATGTTTACTAGTTTACTATTACGCTTCGCCATCCACCCAATGCCCAATTGCCGGGTTTGCGCCCAGGAAATGGCGTCCTCCCTTCCCAGAGGTCAAACAACTCTGTGAACAAGCGGTAGTGCTTGTGCTTGGTCACCATGAACTGCAGCCAGGTACTTACTGAATTCATTCCAGCCTTCGGGTTCAAGATCACAGCAATGGGTACACGCAATGGGCAAAGGAACCTGGGGCGGAAAAGATGTGGTGGGGGCTGTTGAGAAACAACGCGATTAGGAAACGCATGGGCCGCCCGCAAGAAAAACATAAGGAAAAAAGGTGCCGCCACACAGCCAGTAGGAAAACACATTTGCCTCGTTTAAAAGGATGTTGCCCTTTTTGTCTTGCTAAGGAGTGTTGTACGCCAAGCGTGAGTTCTGGCCCTAATGTTTGCCTGGCCCCTGTGCAGTTAGTTCACCTTTGCCAGAATCACATGGACAGCAATTTCTCAAAGGAACGAACTATCCATGACCTCATGGTTTTTGCCTGGGGCTACATTTCTGCAACTCTTCATTTATCAAAATGAAGCACCGTAGTACATCGTAGTGCCACAAATTTCTCCCGAAATTGGATGAAATTCTTCTATTATGACGCGGCATGGTTTGAAGTTTGAAGCCACTAAGCCATCATCAAGCCACATATGAGACTGGTTGGCCAGCCTTGCCATGGCCATACAATGATCCGTTCTGGAGGGCAGCTTCAATTTTGACTCGTTTGCCAGGACCACCTCTATGTTCTGCGGCGGGTAGACCGGGCAATAGCCGCTGCCCACTGAATAATCATCACACCAAAACTCGTTGCTGTCCGCACGGCTTGCTTCGCTACAAACGCGAAAACGGGGTGAATGTAAGGGTGAACGGCAAGCATCATCGACCCAATATCCTGGGAAGAGGCTGAGCTGACCTTGCGGCAACCCATTTATGATTAAGAATTTAAAAACTGTTTTTGAATCGAAAAACAATGACAAAAACTGACACCCTCACATCAACAAACATGATGCATTAACCGTTCAAGCATAAATTGCTTTGCAACCAACATAAGGGGTCACCCTTTCAATGCCACTCTTTTCTTCGTATGACAACAACCGCGCTATGTATTCAGAAAAACCTTCTGTCAGTTTATCTGACATATATTTAGACATCCTATGTGACTTTTATCCCACACATATCCTCACATTTTATTTCATATAAATATTTACATTCGAACTTACATGTATTCCAACATGCTATCTGACATGCTATCTGCCAATTTATCTGGAATTCAAATGAGTAGCGGGCAACACTATCAGTTAAATTTACTGCCATGCCCACATTATGGTCGTCCCCTGTCGGATGTTAGGATTTCAATATTCCCGGAAGTATCACAAGTGGGGTATCAGTATAGGGTCGTCCCCTAGCGGTTATGAAGATTTTGTGCAACCTCGGAAAGGCGAAGCAGAATAAATTAGTATCACAATAATTTTGTCGGTTATTCAAATGTGGATCAGCCTGGCATTCTAGCTAACATTCTCTATCTGGCACTCTATCCGGCATTCACATCATTCACCTTGATGTTTTACATGACAATTTTTTCTCTTATAATTTATCTGCCATATATTCTGACATACTGACCCGCTGATATTTTTTCTGCCATATATTCTGACATCCTAACGCGTTCACTTGGACACGCAAACTGACACTTTCAAGATCTTTCAACTGCATTCTTTCCGGCATTTGATTTGGCATTCTATGACATGCATTGACATGCCATTAGACATTCTATCTGACATTTGTATTGACATTCTATGTTGCATTTTTTCCGCATTCTATCTGGACATTTGTATTGACATTCTATGTTGCATTTTTTCCGCATCTATGTGGCGTATGTTCCGACATTCCATTTGCCTGGCCTTCTATGTGGCATTTTGTGTCGCATAGGTCCGGAACGCCCTAAAGAGCTAGCGAACTAGCATACCGGTTGGCTCCACCGCGGTTTCTGCAAGGCGGTGGGCCCCGGACAGCTGGTGACCTCCCGATAAAGCGGCTGTGTAGAGGAGGCTGGCATGCAAGCTGGCGATGAGATTCTGCTTGCCTGTGCAGCTGATTGCCGGTGTCTGGCTGCGTCCGGGTAGCTGGCGGGTCAAAGCAAACTCAATTGGAAAAACCGAGGCATTCCAAGCACACGCGTGCGGATCCGAACATAAATTTTGGGCAGTTTTGTTCCAAAATCATGCGGTCTTTCAACGTTGACGTATCAAAGGTCGTAAAATCGGCTAAGATGCCACCTGTGGGTGCTAAAGGGTTTGAACATAGGCCCGGCTTGAACCAGCCACATCATAATGTAATAAAGAATTGCGAGAAAAATAACACGCGGCTGCCGGCTGCGGCTCTTGGGCTACTGTAGAACATTATATTTTGCCAGCCTTGGCGCTCTTCGCGGGCATTCCGCTTCTTTTTGTTTTGAAAATCCAAATTCGGTACCTAAACCATCCTAACCTGCCTTTTTATGCACCCAGACCTTAACATCAGCAATTTCAGCCCAAGATTTTCCCAACATGGGCCCAACAGCAAAAAAACATAGGCTGAACATATGTCCAAATGGCGCGCCAAAAACTCAACGCAACCTAACAAAGGTTCAACTTAGGCAAACAACATCAAACAACACATGTTTTTGGCCAGGCATGTTTTTGGCAGCGCGTGTTCTCGGGTCCAGGATGTTAGCATCTATCAACAAAGACTTCCGAAGCAAGCGGTCGTCGTCGCGAAGCGGCCAAAATCACGAGAAAACCACTTCAGATACTTCAGGACCTTTGGTGGCGCGGGCAAAGGGGAACATTTCCATCATCCTTGGAATGTTTCCTTTTTTGGAAGCTGGGACTGCTTAGTCTCAGGCGGCTCCCCCCTTCCACTTTCCAACCAAAATGTCAAGAATCACTAAACCAAAGGAAACATGGGCCAAGGGGAGAATGTGACCGCACGCGCCTGCGGAATTAGGGATCGCCATCTGCAACTGGACTATTTTACATTGAAAAGAATCCTTTACGGGTTGGAGGTCCATGTCTCAGAGCACAACGTGGTGGGAACCAAACCTAATCCTGAACCGCCCCCCAAAAAAAGGTGTGGTCTTAGATGGTTTTGGTCGAATTGGGTTTGTTCTTGGCTGGAAGGGTTGAAAGAAATCATTAAGGTTGTTGATCGCATTGGGTTGACCACATGAAACTGCAAAATGACCCAGGTCATCAAACCAGCCAATCGCATGTTCAAAAAAAATTTGCTTCCCATGAAATCTGCTATTCTTCCTCCATAAGGGGCCACATTATCTAGCATCAAAATCGTTGTCACCCAGCTTCGGTTTTCGCACTTCCTGGGCAAATTGGCTCGCAGGGGGTCCATCTGCCAGGCCTCGCTGGCCAGCGTTTTCTGCAGGGCGACCGGGGGCCACGGGGGCCCAGCGTGGATCAGCCATGGGAGCTGGGTCAGCCATGGGGCGAGCATGGTTGGAGACCGGCCAGTGAAGTAATTTTGATTTTAACACGTGCCCAAAAAATGCACAATGATAAATGATAATAGTTTCTGACGGCGCATTTTCCCCACCCACTTTGCCAGGGTTTCTTCGATTATCACACCGTGATTGCCAGTTACTGTTCCTTTTTCTCTTCATCGTTTTTCCAATATTTTTGCGTCGTCGGTAGTGTATGGACTTTGCCCCAATCATATGCGTCTTCAAAAAATTCAATGGCAACCTTGGTAGCACTTGTGCCCAAACACCGCTGGGATGTCAACATGCTCAATTTCACAAATCACATAAACTGACCACTCCTTGGTCCACTGTCTTTTGCGTCATCGAATTTGCCTGAAACCACCTGCGGAATAAGCCAGCTGATGTGCAGCCCCAACGGGCCTCCCCACATGCAGTCCAAACTTCACAAGGTGCAACGTTACCTTCTCACAATCAAAAATCGGTTAGGAACGATGGTCATGGTATTTCAATATTGCTGGAAATCACATCAGCTCTGCCCCGAAACCACACAGAGGAAATCAATTGCATATCTTTTCTGCCATATAACGATGGCCCAAAACCGTTCCCTTGGCAGTCGGCTTCAGCCCATGCTTCATTGACACGTGTCATTGAATAGATCGTGAAGTATATGAATAGGCTAGAGGAATGAAAGTGAATCAGTTGAAATTTTGACTTGAACAAATCAACCGGCTGAAAATAGCAGAGGCCAATCAAATCAACACATTATGGGAACCTCTACCGTGAGATCAGTTTGCGATAGTATAGTATATATATATGTGTGTGTGTTTATAATATTATTATATTTATATCTAAATTTAAACGTATATTTATTTCCCCACCTGCCAGGTGAGGGTTGTTAGATTTTATGTCAGTTGCCTCCTCCTGCCTCCTGCCTCCTGCCTCGTCCTCCTCCTCCTCCTCCTCCTCTCCTCCTCGTCCTCCTCGTCCTCCTTGTCATCCTTGTCGTCCTTGTCGTCTCGTCCTTGCTCAACTGCGACCCGCGATCCACAGTGTTCTCTGCCGGACCTCAACCACGACCAGCCACGCCCAGTGTTCCCTGCCGGACCTCAACCACGACCATCCCCGCCCAGTTTTCCCTGCCGGACCTCAACCACGACCATCCACGCCCAGTGTTCCCTGCCGGACCCCAACCACGACCATCCACGCCCAGTGTTCCCTGCCGGACCTCAACCGCGACCATCCACGCCCAGTGTTCCCTGCCGGACCTCAACCGCGAGTATCTACGCCAAGTGTTCCCTGCCGGACCTCATGTAGGAAGATATGGGACAAAGAATGTGCAGAAGAAAGTTAGAAAAAATGTCAGAAAGAATGTCAGAAGATATGCCAGATAGAATGCCAAATAGAATGCCAGATAGAATGCCAGATAGAATGGCAGAAGATATGTCAGAATATATACCAGAAGATATGCCAGATAGAATGCCAGATAATATGCCAGAAGATATGCCAGATAGAATGCCAGATAGAATGCCAGAAGATTTACCAGATAGAATGCCAGAAAATATGCCAGAAGATATGCCAGATAGATATGCCAGAAGATATGCCAGAAGATATGTCAGAAGATACTGGTATGTCAGAATATATGCCAGAAAATATGTCAGATAGAATGCCAGAAGATATATCAGAATATATGCCAGAAGATATGCCAAATACAATGCCAGATTGAATGCCAGAAGATATGTCAGATAGAATGCCAGAAGATATGCCAGATAGAATGCCAGAAGATTTGCCAGATAGAATGCCAAAAGATATGCCAGAAGATATGCCAGATCATACGCCAGAAGATATGCCAGATAGAATGCCAAATAGAATATCAGAAGATATGTCAGATAGAATGCCAGAAGATTTGTCAGTAAGAAAATGTATAAATGTCATGGTGGGGATCACACGAAGTAAAGTAATTTGATTTTTTCTTAGATCTATAGATCTATATGTCTATTGTCTATATTTACATGTATTTTTTTTATACGTGTATTCATATTTATATTTAAATTTACATATTTATATTTCTATTTATATTTGTGATCCCCTACTATATTGTACCATCTCTTCGATGCAGTAGTGGTGCGATCAAGGGTTTTGAAATTGTAACCTCATAGGGCCAAGACAAGAATGTGCGTAAATGATGTCGAGTAACACCACCCGCATTGCGGGAAGTATTAAAAGCTAACCCTGGGCACCTCTAATTTTTTCATCTTGTTCCCATGGCATTTTTTCAGCTCTTTTTGGCAACATACCATGGGTAAAACCTCATGTGTAGCATGTAGATGACATGTCATGCACAACACGTGCATGTCTGCAGCCCCTTTTTGAGCACACGTCGTGCTTCAAGGAAAAGGTGTGCCGCGTTTGTGTTGCACTACGTTTGTAACTAGTTTAGTGCCCAATACGCTTGACCGTGAAATGCGGCCCGCGACCTTGGTCGGCGGGTCTGACCGCTCAGAGACCTGGAGCGGAGGGTCTACACTCACAGCTCCGCTACCATGCAAAAGCAGAGGTAGCTGTTAGCGGGTATAGCCCCGCGTGGCCAAGGCCGCGTAGGACTTTCTCGCCAACACGGCGGATCCCAACCACATCTTGGGAAAGCCGGGATTGGACACAGGACTACTCTCAGTGGTCCGACGTGCCTGGTCCAACCGGGACTGGTCGAACCAAGACTGGCCAGGGCAAACCGACCAGCAAACAACAGCAGCACCACCTGGTGACCTCACTGACGCTAACCGCGTGTGGTGGGAAACCTGAGGTGAAAAAGCTTCTGGACGGTCAGTCGGCACGCCGGCCGGGACCAACAGAGCCGAAACAGGAGAGGCTACAGGTCAGTGGCCCGAACCCTGGCCAGAGCCGACAGGGGGCAAGACAGAACACGGGCAGCAGCTTGGGAACAACAACAACAACAACAAAACCAAGCGCAGCCAGCCCAACCTGAGCCAGCGCAACCTAACCAGCGCAACCTGTGCAGCCTGAGCCAACTCAGCCAGAGCCTGCACAACAAGAACCTGTGCCGCCGGAGCCAACGCAGCCAGAGCCAGCACAGCTAGAACCCATGCAGACGACTGCACAAGAAGAGCCAGCGCAGCCGAACCCAACGACAGAGCCCGTGCAGCCTGAGCCAGCAGCTGAGCGAGACACACGCTCAGCCAGAAGCCAAAGCTGAACCGGAAGTTTCTACCAAGGAGGAGCCTGAGCCGGTTGCAGCGGAGGTCCCGCGCACCGAACCCAGCGGTGGCTCAAGGGTCACTAATTACTGGAGTGAGGAGCGAGCGGGAAGAACCGCCTGAAAGCAAACCAGCCTTAGAAGCGGCCGAAGAGACAACAGCCATCCTTGTGCCAAAGGCTGAAAGAGCAAGGAAGGCCTACGTCACACGAGGCAGGTCCAGGTCTTCAGGTCCCGCAGGAGCTGTCAATAGCGAAGAAAGCTTCGAGATCTTGGAGTTTCCGCACGATCCCATAAAGCAATATTGGGAGGAGCAGAAGGCCAAAGAGGAGAACAAAGGCAAGGCTACGCCTGCCAGCAGCTCAACAGGGTTAGCCGCGCCGCCGCTGTACGCAGCGGGCGTCCCACGTGTTCAACCCCCTACCAGCGTAGGAACAGCTGGAGGTAGCGTTGGATCTTTGTGACAAGATCCAAGGAGCTTTGAGCCAACAGCCTGAAACACCCCTTGTAGGGCCAGGAACCAGTTCAGACCAAACCGTCCAGCAAGATGGATCAGCAAGCGGCAAGCCAGCTGCAACTGCAGATGGAGGCTCTAGCGAGTCAGGTGCAAGCGTTAACTACCGCACAACAGAGTCAAATGCAAGTAAACGCGCAGCTGCAGCAAGAGAAAGAGGCACTCCAGCAACGCCTCAACCGCGTAACGCCATTATTGCAGGCATCTCTCACAGGCACCGGTCAAGGTCAGCATCCCCAGCAAAGCGCGGGGAGCTCCGCCGCCGGCAGACCAGTTAGTCACAACAATCCCAATCCTTAAAAGATCAGGATCAATGGGAACGCTTCAGCTTTCAGGTGGAAACATGCCCGGCATTTCTGGGTGAAGAATTCCTGGACGAGCTTGACGCAGCACGAAAAAACACAACGTTTGTTGACCCTGCGGGTATGACAGATGACTGCAGGTCTCGAGGGAGACAGCTGTTTGCAATGTTGAATTCATGGACGCAAGAGCTGACTGTTGCGACAAAGATCGCCAGAGGTATAAGAGAGCAGAATGGCTGGGAATTCTGGCGGTTGCTTTGGCGCGAGCTCGCCCCAGATAACCACTCTAAGAATTTGGTCTGGAGACGCGCCTTACTCAGCCCCAAATTTCCCACCAAAATCACCAAAGAGGTAGACTTCTCACCTGCGTTGCAGGAGTGGGAAGCTGATCTCGACAAGCATGAAGCCGAATTTGGCCAAGCCAAAGCCATGAGCGACGAAGACAAGCGCGCTGTAGTGCTGACAGAAGCCCCTACAGCCCTGAAACAACACCTTTCCATGCACATAGGAACTTTAACCACTTACCAGTATGTGCATGAGGTGGTGGTTTCATATCTGCAAGCAAAGCAGGTGTGGAAACCATCAGCAGCGTATGCAGGTGCCGCCGCACGCAAGAACCCTGATGCCATGGAGATCGGTCAAATCGGTCATGGCAAAGGTAGGGGTAAAGGAAAAGATGGCAAAGGAAAGGAGGGCAAGAAGGGCAAAGGGAAAAAACAAAAGGGAAAAACAAATATAGCCACAGCAGCGGAAAGAGTTGCAAAAACGGTGACAGCAAGAACAGACGCGCCATCTGTTGGAAAACAAGCCATACGACAGAGAAGTGTTGGTTCAATTCGAAAGGCCAAGAAAAGGGTTTCAGCAGTCGCTGAGGGCGACACATCCTCGGTTGTCTCTCTCGGAATCTCAAGTGGGAGGAAACAGCATCATCACTCTCCCATCCTCGACACAATACAAACAGCAGAAAAGTGCCGGTAAGACCGGGGAACAC